GGTCTGAAGCGTGGGGATAAGAGAGCAGGACCTTTCTATAGCATCCCGCCATTTATGGAATGCTCTCCCAAGGGAGGCCCACCTGAATCCACCCTTGTCCTCATTTTGGCGCCAGGCAAAGCACAGGCATTTGGATAGCACCAGTGAAATGACGTTGCACTGTGAAATCTGTTTTTGATATGTTTCGCCTGTGTTTATTGTTGTATTTACACTTTGACTATATATCAAACCATCAGGGTTTTTGTTATTGTTTTGTTTTGGTGGGCAATAAATTTAATGCACCTAAACCTTTGGAGTTTCCAGGAAATCATACAGTTCTCAGCTGAGCACAAAAGGTGTCCAGGTAGGTTATTTTCCTTCCTAAGGCTGCAGGCAAACCGTACATGTAAAGTTCATTGCTAATGTGTACCTTGCATGATCGTTGGCCATTGGGGCCGAGGAGAGTTTAATGTCCAACAATGTTTGTATGGCCACAAGTTCCCCCTGTCTATTCTGATCTCTTTCCCCTGTGTTCTTTGTAGGCTGGCCAGGCATATTTCATCAACGATGGCGAGAAGGTCAACCTTATTGAGTGGTTATCCCCACTGGTGAGTGCAAGAGCTGTTTGTTATAGACAGAATAGTGCTCTAAAACTTCTTAAGCTTATTGGCTGTGGTGGTTGTGACGGATGGGAGTTCGAGTCCAGTATCCTCTGGCGGGCTTCAATTTCTCCGTTTCTTTTTTAATCTGCCTCGAGTCTCATATGGCCTGATGAGATGCAATAATTAATAAAGGCAGCTGTATAGTGTTGGGGGGGGGGAAATCAGGTGAATATGGGGGGGGACCCCCTTACAAACCATAGATGACTATGTATAATGCAAACCTTTGCTGAGTATTTTACCAGTGAAAATTTCCAGACACAGAAGTTTTTTTTTGGTAAGAAATTCAATAACGGGAGTTTTAATTTGTTTTGGTCTTAAATTGACTGCGATTTTAACCTTCTCTGTATTTTAAATTACGGTTGTAATCTGTGAGTGTTTTATTGTTTTATCTTTCTCGTAAACTGCTTTGAGGTTTTCCTACAATCAAATGGTACAGAAATGTTATGGAATGGATAGATCGATAAATGAACAGCTGCATTCAAAACTGTCTGGTTTCAGTATTTCAATGTTTCTTTCAGTTTAAAGGATTGGGTTGCAGCAAGCCATGGATACGTGTTCCTGTTATTATTGCTTATTTTTCAGGTAAAATATTTCCAGTTGTTTGTTCAACAGTTGTTTGGGGTTTGCTTGTTTTTACAGTCGTTCAGACAAAACCTTGGGTTTGCACTCGGTGTGAATCAGGAATTTTATCTTGCAGCAAACCATGGCTTGAGAAGCTGGCTTGTTGAACCGGCCATTGTGGTAAACCATAATGCTTAAACTGAGATGTTTGGAAGCAGAAGCTAAACTCTGCAGAAATCCTTCTCCCAGTCACAAAAGATCTGAGTTTCTGAAGCTCGACAGCCATTGTTTAGCGTTATGTGCAGATCAGCCCATTGCACTATACCGGCGCCCATCTCAACTGAGACCTGAGGGGGCAGAGGTTAATGTTTTTCAACCCTGATGTTGTTCCATAAAAAACAGCATTCTCCGTGCACACACACCCCTGGCCACAACTGCATTGCCTTGTGGTAAGGATGGGGAAAAGTTTCTGTGGGGAAGTTCACTCCTATGCAGGTGTTGAGGAGGGGAGGAATTTTGATCGGGACAACAGCAAGTGAAGAGAAGGATCAACCTTTCACAGCACGGCCTCAGCCCAGATTGCGGCTGCCCATGGTGACAACTGTCTGAACCCAAATGTTACATTACATATTTAATTTAATGTATAATTTAACCCAACATTTTTGGAGCTGCAGGCACAGGGAATCTGATTAAGGAGACAAATAACAACCCCGATGCCAGAGAACAGTTTAATTGCAGCTCTTTTTAGCAATATAAACAAATAAGTTGCTAAAGTTTGACTTGAGAAATGCAGTCAGGGCTCAGCGGCAGAGTGTGTGATTTTCGTGCGGAAGGTCCCTGGGTTCAATCCCTGGTATCTGCAGGCAGGTATTGGAAATATGTCTGTCTGAATGGAGCATTGCTGCCTGTCTGTACTGAGCTAGACAGACCCAAGCATTTGAGACACAGCTTTGTGCATGCGCTGCTATTTCAAGCGACCATTGTATTTATCAAGTGCTTTTTTTTCTTTGTACAGCTGTGGCAATGGAACACTTCCACAACCTGTTAATGCCCATTGTTGAAATCACACCTTTGGTCACCAGAAATGAGGTAACGCATGCCTACGTTATTACGTGCTTGGTTTGTTTCATAGAATCAGGAGTGTAGAGTTGGAAGGGACCGTGAGGGTCATCTAGTCCAACCCCTGCAATGCAGGAATCTTTTGCCCAACGTGGAGGTCAAACCTACAATACTGAGATTAAGAGTCCCGTGCTCTACTGACTGAGCCATTTGTTGTAGTAACTTATACTCTACCCTTCAAGCAAATTACCAGGGCGGATTACAAAATAGAAAAGCACAAGAAAACAAACTTAAAAACATACCAAGAGCCCTTGTAGTGCAGAGGGAGCTTTGCAATCTGGCTGGCTGGCTTTTGCCCCGCACAAAGAGCCCATTTTACAGGTGGAGAAATCTCCCAGGTCACATCCCCACATTCTAACCATTACGCCACACTTCTGTCCCCTTCTAATTTTTCTTTCGTCTTTACTCTGTTGTTACTCTTGGCTTGCATGACATACGTCTGATGTTCTTAATGGTATTATGAATTGGCATGCTGCCATATATATTTTTGTTGTTGTTAATGTTAACGCGGGTGGCGCTGTGGATTAAAGCCTCAGCGTCTAGGACTTGCCGATTGAAAGGTCGGCGGTTCGAATCCCCGCGGCGGGGTGCGCTCCTGTCGTTCGGTCCCAGCACCTGCCAACCTAGCAGTTCGAAAGCACCCCCGGGTGCAAGTAGATAAATAGGGACCGCTTACCAGCGGGAAGGTAAATGGCGTTCCGTGTGCTGCACTGGCTCGCCAGATGCAGCTTTGTCACGCTGGCCACGTGACCCGGAAGTGTCTCCGGACAGCGCTGGCTCCCGGCCTCTAGAGTGAGATGAGCGCACAACCCTAGAGTCTGGCAAGACTGGCCTGTACGGGCAGGGGTACCTTTACCTTTACCTTAATGTTAGCAGAAATTCTAAAATAAACTATTGTGCTTTTCAAAAAGAGGGTCCAGCAGAGTTGTGGGTAAGAAAGCCATCACTGGCTACATATCACAATAGTTATGTCCTGCCTCCATTGGATGCCTCTTAATATCACCTGCTGGGAGTCGCAAGTGGGGAGAGGGCTGTTGTTCTCAGCTCCTGCTCCTGGGCTTTCTTTTTTTTCATAATAATTTTTATTAAGTTTTCCATTTAACATTCCAATCATATCACATTAATTATTCCAAATTATGCCAATACAAATCATAAAGTCCAAATATTTTGCCAAATTATAAATTTTTGTTGGGGGTTCCCATGCTTTTGAGTTCAGTAGGGTCCAATCATCTCATATTTGTGCTGCTTTTAGTGTTCACCAGTCCCATCTTCCAATCTTCTTGATGTTATCCTTTTTCTTCTTAATAGCCTCTGAGTTGTTTCCACAGGCAAGTTAAAGTAAACAATATTATACTTCTGTGTTAACTTTGTAAGGCTCTTCCTTTTTTTAAAGCTGGTAAGTCTTTTGTTTGCAGTAAATCTTAACACGCTGATCCAAAAGTCCTCCTCAGGTGGCAGACGCCATTTTTTCCAGTTCTGATGAAATACAATCTAGGCATTTGCTCATTAATTTTCCCAGACAAGTTGCACCATAAATTAGCCTTTCCAGGGGAGATGTGCCTGGAAACTTAGAATACAAACATGATAAGAGAGTAAAGGCTCACCTCCCCCTATGGCTATTAATCTCGCAACATAGTCTGTCTCATAATGGCGGGTCCCGATTAAAAACTGCGTCACAAGAGAACCTTTTATTTTCTTCCCAGATATTTCAACAAGCAAAGGCTTTAGTTGATATTTTTATTTCCACACAGTTTATTTTCCAATCTCACTTGCTCTAGGTCATTTTGACGGTTCTTCTAGGGGGGGAGTTGTTAGGTAATATCGTAATAAGAAGAAAAAGTCCCCCCCCCTTCCGTTCCATTTCAACATACCGGCATAGATGTTATTCTCTGACATTATCTTCTTTCCAGTCCACTCCATCGCTCTTAACTTCTCAGTGGCAGATTTAATTTGCAGCTAAAATACCCTTTTATTCGCTCGAAGCATGTGCGATAATTCTTATTTCCAATTTTTTATCTTAAGAAACACAACTTGGGTCACACTCGGAGACAGCGTCCAGGAGATCCGAGCTCGCTCGAGGACTTTCCGTCCAGTGCCCTCACCCCCTCCTTCTTTCAAACTCAGGGGTGATTTATGGACAACTGCGGACGAGGCTGCATCTCCCCCTACACCGGGGAGAAAAACGGGAGGCTGATTTACTCCCATATCAGCCCCTTAATTACCTCGAGTGAGCTGGAGAGATGGTATTGTCGGCCATCTTCCAAGGCGCCCCTAGTGAAGCCCCTGCTTCTGGGCTTTCCATAGGCATCTGGTTGCCCACAGTGAGAACAGGATGCCAAGACTAGGTCGGCCTTTGACCTGATACAGCCGGTGCCTTCTTAAGTTCTTACGAAAAGCATCATTTTAAATGTGCGATGGAAACAATGATGGGATGAAGGGAATTGTGGTGCAGCGACATCTGGAGGGCACTGAATCTGGGAAGCCCACCCCAGACCGGGCACCCTCCATTGTCATTTGCTCTCATGTTGTTTCAAAACAGTTTTTAAAAGAAACCCAACTCCTTTGCTTTCGCTTCGCAGGTGTACAACATTGCTTACACGAACACGTTCAAAATAGATAAAGCCCGGCAACAGCTCGGCTACGCCCCAAAAAAGTACTTGTTTGCAGACTGCGTGGATCATTTTTTGAAAACCAGGCCCCGCAAGAAGAATTATTTCATGCTGAAAAGCTTTGTGGTGATAGCCCTGTTCATCGCCCTGATCATCCTGGCAGTTTACCGTCAAGAAGTTTGGGAATTTGTTCACAAGAACTGGGGAAAGTATCGGCATCTTGTCGTGCGATAAACCAGCCGTTCTCAGGCACAGGATCGGCCGGGGGAACATTGCCCTTGGATCGCATGGTCTGTTTTTCTTAGCTCTAAAGTAGTAGGCAGGCAGGAAGGTACATTAAGAGGAATAAGAAACATACAAGGAAATCGTCCTGCGGTGGCTAATGAACAGAAAGCCAAAATGGCCACCGAAAATCACACTCAGGAGACTCACACAAGGGGAGAGGGTGTTGTTTTTATATCAGCGGTGTCTACGTTCAGTTGGTTCCTCGTCTTTCGTCAAACTGAAGAAGAGAGGGGGGCTTTCAAAGGCTGCGTACAAATAATCCTCCACAGACACATCAGGACGGCCTCTTGCCTCTCCAGGTCATGATGAGAAACAACGAAGGTGAGAAAGTGATCCAGGAGAACAGTGCCAACAGCGAACCATTTTGCACGGCACCGGATGTCTCTCGCCAACTTTGCAGCACGAGCTGAAAATAAAACCACACCTGAAAACCTGCCTGTGTTTCTCCAAGAGCCGAAGCCGACAAAACTGGCCTGTGGAAAAGCAGGTCCACTGGTCTCGCCATGTTTACATATAATACGTGGTTGGAGAAGGCGGTGGTCTGTCCTTTACATGTGAATAAGCACTCTTGAGGGCAGGGGAAGGTTTCTCTGTGTTGTTTGAAAAGGGATGGAGGGGGGACCTGAGGCCTTCAAAATGTCGTTGGACTACAACTTCCACTGGCCCTGTGACGTAGTGAATTGAGCAGAATGGAAGGCAAGAGATAGGGGGTGGGACAGGCCGAATTTTGGCCTTGCCCAAGGTGAAATTTGAAAGAGCAAAGACAATCCCCGGAGGTTGTGGTTCCAACACCACCTCGAAGGCATTACAGTGCCCTCTGGTGTAAAAAGGGGAGCGCATCGGCCTCACCCATCTATTCTTGTTTCTTTTTATGTGTTGGCTCCTCCGGTTGCTCGTTTTAACGGATTAATTTATAAGCCCCGCCTTTCAAGAATCAAGGTCCTTTCCAGCATTAAATGCTACATTTAATAACACTGGTCTAATCATCAAAAATGCAGCATGAACTGAGACCAGGCCACACCATCTCATCCCTTAGCCGTAGTCTGTTTCTGTTAAGTCCAGGTAAAATATTAGGGTTTCAAAATATATTGGGATGGGGCCTGCCTAATGCTGCTGTGTGTTAGCATTGCCCAATTGTGGGGCCGCTGCCAAAAAGGCTCTGGCCGATGTGTATGTCAGCTGAACTCCCTTTGCTGGTGGGCATCAGAACAAGGCTTTGGATACAGGTCTGGAGTTATGGGCAGGTGTCTATGGATATAGGTGAGCCTTTAATTTCAAGGTCACTGCCAGTATTTAAAAATGGGCCTGGAAGTGCACCAGTAACCAGTGCAACTGGTACAATATTAGTGCAATATGCCTTGCCTGCCTGGTTCAGGGTATTAACTTGGTACTGCAGTATCTTCAAGTTAATGTTTTGGGGGGCGTATTTTTTGTTTTAAAACACCGTATTTACTTGAATGTCATGCACACCTTTTTTTGGCCAAATTACGTTGCGAAAATTAGGGTGCACGTTAGATTTGATGGCACCAGCCAGCAAATACTTTTCTTGTTTCAAGGTTTTTGAAAATTTGATGGCGCATTCAATTTGCAAAAATACAGTAGATGTGATTGGGTAGGATATGGCAAATCCATAAACTGGATTGTGTTCCATTGAAATACATAGACTAACAATCTTACGGTATATAATTGTAGTTTGAAGGGACCCTAAGGGTCATCCAGCCCACCCCACCCCCTGCAATACAGGTATCCTGCCTCCTGCTGTCCCTAGGTGAGCTCTAATTCAGTAGGGTTTACTTCCAAGTAGGGATGGAGGAAGAAATTCGGTTCGGTTTACATTCAGAGATGGATTTATCAAAATCACCCTTTCCGAAGCAATACAAAATGCATGCATTGTATTCAGGGAAACTGATTGCAAAAATGTGTGGCTTAGTCAAACCCACATAGGAACAAAAAGCGGTATTTTTAGGAGAAATTTGCACTAAAATACTTAAGTGTTTTGGTGTGGTTTCTTTTAATTAAATAAAAAGTTGCTGTAGATATAAGGGGAACTGAAGATTGGGGAAATGAGCAACGGAGAGAATCGAAAGTGACAACCGAAATGGGCATGTCGTTCCATTCCTACATGGTTTTGCAGTTCGTATATGTTTAGTTTACCGTCTTTCGCTCTTCTCCCCATTGAAAACGCGTGGTTTTTGTCTAGGCAATGAATGGGCTGATATGCATGTCAGGCCTGTTTTAGAACAGCGAGAGCTGCGAGACAGAACAGTATTTTCAGTCCCCGGGGGGAAACGACGAAATAAAAAGCGAAGTATTAAGGGAATTTCACCCGGCAGCCTTGCGAGTGTGGGTCTCCCAGCCGCATTCCTGAAGGGCATTGCAGAGATCGCAATTGCATTGCAAACGGCAGCTCATCCCGAAACCCGCCCTAGCTAGAGAGAGAAACCGGGACTTTGAAGAGCAGCAAAATCTTTCAAGATCACCTTTCCAATCAACGGGGAGCAAATTACCGAGATTTCGGGTGGAAGAGAGAGAGAGAGAAGGGAAAAAATAAAAAAGATGTATCTTGGCAGCGGTGGGATTCGAACCCACGCCATCGAAATGACTGGAGCCTAAATCCAGCGCCTTAGACCACTCGGCCACGCTACCATCCGATTGCAGAGAGGCTCTGAACGGCATATAAAGGACGTCGGGAAATTCTTGCAGCGCTATTTCCGGCTTGCTTGCTTTTTTCCCCCCCTTCCACGTTCATTGCAAAAGGGAAGGAGCTTCGCAGCAAATATTCCCCTGCAACTCTCTGTTGCTCGCCGCCGCCCTTCCTGGCAGATAAGATGGTTTCCCCGCTGCTCCGAGAAGAAAAGCAAAAAAATGAACCACCGTGCAGACTCATTGCACTGCCACGTCCTGCCAGGTTGTGGATTTATTTAAATAAGTGAGCAAGGAAATAAAATGCGAGCTGTCCGACACGGTTTGCTCCCTGCTCCGAAAGTATATATATATATTTAAAATAAAGGGTCTAGAGATTAGGATTGCTCTGCGTTAACTGCGCCCTAGAAGGCAACCCCAGACGCCCAAAAATACAGTAAAATAATGGCGTCCCTCGCACCGAACTGCAATCGTGGACCTGATTATTGCAAGGGTTGCGGTTGTTGCACATTGTGGGCACGGGGTGGCGCTGGTGCTCCAGCATTTTCCTCCCAGGTCGCAGAGTTAAGAGAAAAACGTCCGCTAGAGACTATCATTTGCTTCATCCTATTTTCTTGCCCTAGTTAGTTAACTTGCCATATGTCCCAGAAGCTTTCATGCTAATTTCTAAAGGAAGTTGGCCGTGTGTAGATAAAGTGGGAACCAAGGAAAGGACAGTGCTGCTCTTATTTTCCCCCACCCTCTTCTCCAAATATGCATGCAAGCGTATTGCAGCTTGCATTTGCTCCCATACAAATGTGTGGGTCTTTATTCGTTTTTTCCCCCAAATAAAATTTTTCCTGGGGTGGATGAGGGTGAACAATTGAGGCTATATGTCATGGGTAGGCAAACTAAGGCCTGGGGGCCAGATCCGGCCCAACTTCTAAATCCGGCCTGTGGAAGGTCCGGGAGTCAGTGTGTTTTTACATGAGTAGAATGTGTCCTTTTATTTAAAATGCATCTCTGGGTTATTTGTGGGGCATAGGAATTCGTTCATTTATTTTTTCCCCAAAATATTGTCTGGCCCCCCACAAGGTCTGAGGGACAGTGGACCGGCCCTTCTGAAAAGGTTTCCTGACCCCTGCTATATCTCCAGATAATAACAGTTGTACTAGCATGTATTAATAAATTGTTAGTTTGCTACAGTCACAGACCAACAGGATTAAATGCACAATTAAAACCATCCATCTCCTTAAAACAGTTTAAAACAGATATACGAAAATATGCTCGCTTACTCTTTCTTAAATGAAGCCGGCAAGACAAAATTATCTTCATCTGCACTGAAGCCAGAAGCTTATTTGTTTATTTATGGCAAACCTTAAGCAAAACATCTACAGAAGAATAAGATATTCCTGGGAGATTTCTTAATGGGGGAGAATCAGCACATTATACACTGAAAGCACTCAGAACCAAAAATACTGTAGAGTTGGAAGGGTCCTGAGGGTCATCTAGTCCAACCCACTGCAATGCTGGAATCGCAGCTAAACAATTCCTGATAGATGATGGCCATTCAACTTCTGTTTAAAATCCTCCAATGAAACCCTTGCACCCACAATAAAATACTTCTGGGAACTGTAGGCTTTCTGGGTGCTGGAAATTGTAGCTCTGGGGAGAAGTAAACTACAGTTCCCTAGGATTCTTTGGGCGGGAATGTGTTTCAAAGGTACATTTCTATACCTAAGTATTAGGGACATGGTCAACAGACTCTATTGCTCCACATTTGAAGCAAATTTGCTCCCTCAAATAATTCCGGGCGCTGTTGTTTGTTAAGGGTTGGTGAGGGGGGGGCTACAGTTCCCAGAATTCTTTGAAAGAATGTGCTCCGAATGTGCTTTAAAGGTGTGGTGTATACACAACGACAGAAAACGGACATTAGCTAATCAGAAGAGAGTGAGGGTGATAAAGGAAGAATATGACAGTTTAACTGGCAGATAGGGCCTGGTTAGCAAAAGAGCAAGAGGTGCTTAGGGGTCTGTCTGGCAGGATAAAGCTGTTTATAATTTCCTGAGGAAAATGACCTAGAGGCAAATTAACAGCAGATAGCCATTCTATTATTATTATTATTATTATTAATCATCTATTTTTCCCTGACGGACTCAAAGCAGCTAGGAAGCAATAGATTTAACAGCAGCCGTTCAGTTGTGGGGAATTATAAGTGAAACTCTTGTTTGAACTCAAAACAGTGTTTCTGACAGAAAATGACCACGCATTCATGAAACTATTTTTGGCCACTATCTCATGAAGAACATCAAAGCGGTTTACAACAAAAGCACACGAAAACCGCACAGTAGAAAAAATATGTCTGAAAGTGTGTGTGGTGGGGGAAACCCACATCAGTCAACCATTGTGGAAAAGATGTACGTATCCTTAATTTCCTGACTAGGCCTGATGGAATCATGCCTTTAAAAGTGAGGCTGTCTAGTTTTATCCCTCACCGGGTGTTAATAAAATACAATTGTCATAAAATAAATCATTTTTAAGGCAGTTCTTGTTGCCATCTGTGCCTCAGCTTCAATTTGCACCTGGTTCAAGGAATAAGTGGTCACTGGGAACTTCAACATCAAAGAATCTTTGCTGTGGATTTATATCCTGCTCTACCACATAAACTTATTTAATACTGTACATTTATGCCCCACCTTTCTTTCAGGAACCTCAAGGGGGCCTACATACTCCCCCCTCCCTGTTTGACCCTCACAACAGCCCTGTGAGGCATGGACATAGCCAAAGGGGGGGCAGTTGTACCCCTAAATCAATACAAAGCAATGCAAATCTTAGGTTTCCCCCCCCCAAAAAAAACCCTGGCTACGCCCCTGCTGTGAGGTAGGCTAGGCTAAGCTACAGTGACTGCCCCAAGGTTTCCCCAGCAAACATCACGGCCCAGTGGGGATTTGAACCAGGCCCAAGTCCAGCGCTCTAACCATTATGCCACACTGTGGAATCCCCGGTTTCTTGGTTGCTACTGACAGGGTGCGGCGACCAGGGATGCAACCAATGCCGGATTTATGTATAAACTAAACAAGCTATAGCTTAGGGCCCCACTCTCTGTTAGAATTCCTGCTCCATGATTGCAGTCATGGGATTGTTGTCTTTCACATGATGTTGTATGTTTTGACTCCACAGAGTGGGAAGTGATGGAGACAGGATGTTTGTGTTACTGTGCCCTTTGTTCTTTTGCTCTTTGCTGTCTGATGTTAGAGAGAGAGAGAGGGAGCCATGTTGCAGTGCTCCGTGTGTGTTTATATGTAAATAAGTAGATTAGCCAAAATGCTGAGTTGCTGAGGTCTGTCACGCAAGGTGCACAAACTCTGCGGATCCCTAAGTGTGCCGGTGTCGGTTGGCATCAGTCACTGTGATGTTCGGGCTGAAGAAAGCTTATGAAGCTCCCGAACGATCGACCAGGAAGGAGAGAACATGCCAGTCAGGCATGTGTCTCTGCCAGAGTCCTACTGGAGTGTAGACTGAACTCCTGACACTCTCTTGGGAGCCCCCAAAAAATTTAAAGGGGGGAAAAACTGGATGTACATTTCCAAAATATAAGATAAAAAAAACAAATTAAATAAAACCTACATACAGCAACAGTGTTTTGTGTTGTGTAGGCTCCTATGATGTAATTAGGTCCATAAATTACTATATAGCATATATTCAACGCAAAAAAAAATTGTTGTTGACAAAGGACAGCTGGACATATAAAGGGCCCCATTACCTTCAATAGTTTAGGGCCTCATCAAATCTAAATCCGACCCTGGCTGCAACCACCCGAGACTGTGCTGCCCTGCTACCCAGCTCCCACCTCCGACAAGGCACCTCGTCCCGCGCTTTAAACGCGTGCTCGATGCGCTTTAAACCCGGTTTGCATGCGGACGCCTGGCTCTGCTTCTCGGCTTGGAGAGCCGCCTCTTCCCTCCTTCCTTCCCTCCCTCCTGCTCCAGCTCCTCCTCCTCCTGCTCCAGCCCGGGGTGAGAACAAGGCGTGCCGTCGGATCCCTTGCTGCGTAGAGAGAGTTCAGCAGGGAGGCTGCAGGCGCTGCGCTCCGGAACGTGCTCGGTGCGCCCCAGTCCCGTCCCCGGGGGAAGCAGCAAAGCAGCAGCAGCCGGCGCGCGCGGCTCTTGCACGTCGCCTCTGCTCCTGGCACGCTTGCAAAAGCCTGGCCCGCCTCTCTGGAGGCGACTAGCTGGGCCGTCCTTCTGCAGAAGAGAGAGCGAGAGGGGTTGGCGAGGTGGAAAGCAAGCAGGAACCTTTGCTGCTTTGCAAAGGTGTGGATCTGCGTGGAAAGGTAGGCCCGGGGCTTGCAATTGTTCCTGTCGTTTGTTTGGGGTGGGCAAAGCAAGGAAAAGCATTGGCATGGGCCTCGTGTGTATTTGTGTGGGTTTAGGTCAGCTTGGGTGCATAGGGGACGGTTGTGTTTGCAAGGCCGCCTTAGCTGCCTTTGCAGACGGCCCAAAGCTCTGGCTAGCGGCAATTGTGGCAGCCCGAGGAGGTTTCTCTTCCTGCCCCTCCTTAGGAGCGGTTAGATGCAAGCAGCGCCCGTGCTGACCCTCCTGCCATCCTCCCCTCCCGCCTTCTTTCGCTGACACGTCTGAATTCGAGAGCTTTCCTGGGAGCGTCCGCGCTGCTGACCTCAGTGCTGGCGACTGGGGTGTAGGTAGGGTTGCATCAACACACAACTGTGCTCTGTGTGACTGTGGGGGTTGCGAGCGGCCGTGTGGACAGAAACAACCGTCTATTGTGTTCCTGGCTGCACAGTGGGCATTTTGTTTTATTTGCCTCTCGTGATTCGTTCTGTCAATCATCGGGATCAGGAAGGGTTTGGGTGAGTTTGCGCATGTGTGTTTTGGGTTTTTAATTTTCTAAAAACCAAGATCATGATCAGCTGAGTGTTTTTATGAACCGATCTCCAAATGCATTGTCATTTAATGAGAACAGATGGGGGGGGGGAGGAGGACAGCTCCTCCAGAGTATCTGTTTGCAGGGAGGTTAGACGAAGTTGGCTGTTTGTTGAGCGTTTGTCCTCATCTGTTTGCGGGGAGGTCTGATGACAGTGCATCAAGCCTTATCCCACGCTTTCCAGTGAACCTAAGAAGCTGCCTTCTACTGAGTCAGAAAATTGATCTATCTAGTTCAGTATTATCTCCACTGACAGGCAAGGGGTACCCCTAGCTCTCCTTATTGGAGAAACTGATCTTTTGGGGAAGCTGATTTCTCTTGTACGAGATCTCCATTTTTAATTGCACAATTCAAATTTGCTGCAAAGTGATTGAATTGCACCTGAAAATAGCAAGAGTTTGGAAACACCTTTGGTTGCATGTGTCTTTCTGTAGAGTTGTTGGGTTCTCTTTCCCTTTGGATCTGACTGAACACCATATTTGGGTGGCGGAAGGAATTCTGTCTCCGATTAGACCGCAGTCCTATGCACAACAACTCGGAAGTAAGACCCATCAAATTAGGAATTAGTTATATGATTGCCACTTTACAGCACAATCCTAGGCATGGCTACTTAAAAACAAGTCCCGGTGTGTTCAGTAGGGCTTAGTCCCAGGTAAGTGTGAGCAGGATTGCAGCCTTAGTTACTTTGTTTTGAAATTAATATACTGTATACTGCATTATTCAACTATGGTTGACTGGTGATCCTCGACTACTTGTTCTGTTTAAAGGAAGGGATTTTCTCTTGTGGCAGAGAATGCGCTTTGCATATGGAAGGTCCCAGGATTTTACCCTCAGCCTTTCTAAGTAGGAATGGGAGTGAGCCTGGACAGTTGTTGGCAATTGGTTTAGACAGCACCGAGTTAGATGCAACCGTCTTCAGATTTGGTACCCTGGACTGATCTGTGAGGAAGGCTGATACTTTTCTTCAGGGATGGGCCCAATTCTCACCTATCACCAAACCATGGCTAAGCGTGAACCGGTGAGTGTGTGAATGCACAAAGCAAAAACTGTTGCTGCTTTCAACGTCTGCCTCCTGCCGCTGCTACACTACCTGTAGATAAGCCATGGTTTGGTATAGCGTTGTATCCAAACCTGGGCTTGTGGGTTGTCTCGCTCCCAACAAACTGACCAAGATTTGTTCTTGGGGGAGACAAACCATGAGCCTGGGTTTGGATGTAATCATAAGCCAGACTATGGCTGAGCTCCATGTAATGCAGCAACAGCATCAACGGGGGAGTGAAGCAGGCAGGATTTCTCCCAACTACGTGGGCGTCATCGCTCGTTCATGCCTGGCCATGTGTTGCGTTTCTGCTTCATGTGAACAGGGCTATGGACTCTCCATTTCCCCTTCGCTCTGTAACATCTGTGTTAAAACCACTGTGATGTTGACAGTCCCTAGCTGTAGCTGCAGCAGATTAGGAAAAGGCTGAGCAGGCAGAAAGTCATTTTGTTCAAGATTCAGCTATCCCAGTGTAAATGCTCCCAAAGGACAGGACGTTCGGTGCCTAAATGATGGGGCAGCGTTCTGCTAGGGTGCTTTGCAATAAGGAAGCAGCCATTATCTTTTAAGGAACGATTCCCTTCATGCTGCTATTTTCCAAAAGTGCTGTGTTGTGAAGCCTTGTCTTCTAGTACAGACACTAACCAGCTTGGAATCTTGTTTCTGTGGGAGCACATTTGAAAGTACAGTGGTACCTTGGGTTACATACGCTTCAGGTTACAGACTCCGCTAACCCAGATATAGTGCTTCAGGTTAAGAACTTTGCTTCAGGATAAGAACAGAAATCGGGCTCCGACAGCGTGGCGGCAGCAGGAGGCCCCATTAGCTAAAGTGGTGCTTCCAGGTTAAGAACAGTTTCAGGTTAAGAACGGACCTCTGGAACAAATTAAGTACTTAACCCAAGGTACCACTGTAATGGAGAACAAGAAGGCTTCATAACTGCTTGAGGAAGGAGAATGGGCGAAGGGTTTGGAGTCGTGCTGGAAATAAGGGGAATGAATGCTGGTTTTCCCCACAATGCCAGCACCATAAATTAACACAGAACATGGCTGGGAAACCCAAATGAGGCCTTCCAGGCCTCCCCCCCCTTGAAATTCTCCCCAGGACAAACTCCACATTTTTACCCCCATGTAACGTGTGTCAGTGGATTCTGGTGATGCCCCTTGCTTGTCTGCAGAGAGAATAGGGGAACTAGCCTGCTGTTCGGATGGCCAAATCAGGAACACCCCAGACCCTGAGATTTCAGAGTACAAACTTGAGACCTAGGGGTGGCCCTGGCCCCTGGTGATGTCAGAGGAGTAGGGCCTGGAGACAGAGGTTAATTGGGAGAAAGGAGTGGAGGAAGTGCTTGCGCTGCGATTTGCAGCTGACTCTTGGTGGGTTGAAGCTTGCAAGTCGCATGCACAATCTGATAGATAGGTAATTAAGGACACTCTGGTGGACCTGGAGATTTAAGCTTTCCACCTGGAGGGGGGCCAGGCAAACCTAGAGACATCAGGTCTGACCTGCAGGTCTGGCAACCCTGCTTACTGTACCAGGGTATTTGTCTGAGGGGCATTACTGTAGGAGACCAGAGTGTGTCATTAGTATGGTGTTTGTGTAGTGGAAGAGCATTTTAGAAACTGCGGCATCATAGTCCTGTACATGTTTACTTGAAAATAAGTCTGGCTGAGCTTTCTCCCTGGTGAGTGTGTCCCACTGAGCACACTGGGACTTCTCCTGTGAGTAAACATGCTTAAGCTCGCAGTGCAAAAGAGCATTTACAGTAGGACGTTGCTGGGTTTTAATGCACCCAGTGTTACGTAATGGAATTAAACATTCTGTAGTTGAACAAAGGCAGGGATGATTCTGATACCCAGGAATAGCCATTTGTGTTTTTCCAAAAGTAGGCTTCTGCTCACCGGCATAAATGACAACGAGATTGCAGCCTGCTTCCTTTTCTAAGCAGAGAATGTTCCTGGACTGTTTGATTGAAGTTTGTTGATGTAATGTCATGGCAATCAAAGGCACTCAGTCAGCAGGTCTGCTTATTGACAAGCTTGGATATGTTCACATAGTTATGGGGATCTGAACATGGAACAGATGGAGGAAGAGTGTATACTTTTTCCTCCCCCCCCCCCCCAAAAAAATGGCTGCACAGTACCAACCTCCTGCACGGTTAAATGTTATGCAATCGTTGCCGTGCCAACGCACCAAAGTGTTGCAAAAATAAATTAGTAAATAAACATTTAACTCAGATATCTGATCATGTCCCACATTACTTGATCAGATTATAGCTTCATGGGGACCGAATTAACATACCTATCTGGGTTTTAATTCAAAGAAAACCATACTGTGGGCTTCCTAGTTATGACCTGCATCACATACAAAGATGAATACGAATTTGAATTTTCTGCATGGTTTGTGCAGAGTCTGCATTCAGATGCTGCATAATTCCTTCACTTTCTGGGTGTTACAACCCAAGAAGAGATTGTTGTGTTTCCTAAAGTTCGTTGCACACTGGGTACAAGCCCTAAAGAAGAAGTAAAAATAAATTTCCAAGATACAAAATGGGTGGAGAATTGTTTCCGACAGTATTTGTTGGAATGCTGTGTAAAATAACTGCTGCTGTTTTCAACATAAGGTAGCAGGCTCTGGAAACCTCGCGGGACAAAGACAGCGTTCTGACTTACACTGTGAGCGCAGACAGGAAGAAATGGAAATGACGGCCATAATCATCATTATAATAATTGATTCTGTGGTTTGGGAGAGAAAGCAGTTGTTGTCTCTGCAAATTTACTACTGAATAAATTTTGAAAGTAGCATTAAAAGTATACTGTAATGCTGTTTCCCTCCCTGCTAGTAATTCAATCAGTCAGTCAATCTTTATTATTACAAGTAATTATTATTTTGTTGCTATTGTAATGCTGAATTTAGAGCCCTGTTGCACTGTTCAGGGTGCAGATTTCTACACACCTAACCTGGGCACAAGCCCCTGAGTGCACAGGCAGAAGATAGCAGTCTTGCATGCTTTTCTGTACTCTGTTAGATAGGGGTGTTTTACTGCGTTGCATTCCTGCGTTGCTGGGGGTTGGAATAGATGGCTTTTGGGGGTCCCTTGCATTTCTTTAGCACAATTATAGCTTTGCAGCTCTGATCCTGGCAAGTAACAAAATGCACTTTCTAAATTCCATACTGAATCGGTAACCCATTGAGGCGGCAATCCTAGGCACCTTGGAGTAAGTCCTAGTGGACTCGATACAACTTTTTTTCCTGAGCAGACATGCCTAGGGTTGTCTCGAGCCGCTGGGTCTTGTGCCATACCCAATTCTCAAGATGGCAGGCAACATTTGGAGATTACACAGTGTTTCCAGAGAGTGCTGAGAAACAGTTTTGGACAAGACAGTTCTGGGAACCAATGCTTCTGGTCGGGTGGGGGTTTTTAATATGTAGGCAAAAGGTGTTATTTTAATGCAGTGATGGTGAAGCCATGGCTATCCAGACATTATTGAACTCCAGATCCCTTCAGTTCTAGCCAGCATGACCAACAGTCATGGATGATGAGCCATGTTGTGTATGTTACATGTTGTATGATAGTCTACCATACATCTGGAAGACCATAGGTTCCCTATGCTGATTCTAAAGAAATGTGGGTTTTGAGTTAGAGGAGAAGCTGCATAAATCCCACTTGCTTTCAGCCTGATCCCTAGATGTGTCTGGGTTTGTTTATATATATATATAAAATCATAGAGTTGGAAAGGTACCCCATGCAATACAGGAATCGCAGCTAAGGTTGTTTTGATTGATTATGTTTATTGTAATTGGTTTTAGGATTTATGCTGTCTTTGTAAGTTGCCTTGAGTCGCTTCCATGAGTAAAGCGATGGGAAAAAAGATAGTCTCACCTTTGCTTATTTGGAAGTAGGAACGGGGTAGAATTCAGTTCACACTTACACGTATTTGCAGGCAAAATTGTAACTCTGAAGGGTAAACTAGGGAGCCCAGAATGACACCTGCAGAATGGCAAAAGCAGGAAGTGTACAATTTCCAAATATCATATCAGGAAACCTAGTTGTTGGTCATGGCCCTCAAGACCTAATTCGGGCTTATCAGCTGACAGTCTAGGGGACCTGTCCCAGAACACCTTCCTCAGTTCTGAGATGCAATTTGGCAAAAAAGTGGTATATAAATGTAGTCAGTAAATAAATAGGCTGTGTGTACAGAACAGGCAGAAACTGATAACGGGAGCAGAAGTCAGCATTCTAAGAATTTCACCTTTTACTATTCAAGTTTCTAGTCCTTATGCTTTTTGAAATTCAGGAAAGGGACAAAAATGTTGCAAAAAGGAGAATATTCAGTTAAGTTTCTTCTCTCATTATCTGTATCTCTTGGAGAATTCACAGAATTTGGATTATCTTATTTTGCGGGACGAGGGAATCACAGAATATATACATAGCACCATGATGAAATATCAGGTTGGCCATCGATAGTAAGAACCTTCTTGGAGCTGCCAAAACAACTCCAGCTTGAGCACAGGGCAAGTTGCCATCCTTTTAGATGAACCTTTTAAATAAAAGGTCTCTGGCACAAGGTAGTGAGACTGGCCTCATTGCACAGGCTCATTGAGGTCTCGAGCAGCAGAATGACTGGGGGTGGCAGGAAAAGAGTCTGCTCATTTGGCACCTGTACATGGCTGCCTCCTTAAAACAGAGAAAGCACAGGATGTTCTCCTGGAAGCAAACAGCTCTCTGCTCCGGCATGCCAGGAAGATAAGGCCTGGAATTGGATCTGTTTCAGAAGCATGTTCAGTACTGCTGATGGTGCAGAATTAGTCCTCGAGCTTAGAGCACAAGAGAAGTGCATTTGAATATTCTATATTAATTTGAATATTCTATAATAATTAATTTAAAAAATAGTCTCCAGGGTTGTTGTTGTTGTTGTGTGTGTGTTCTCCAAATCTTGGGGAATATACATGGAGGTCTAACGGACTGCAAGCCCCCCCCCAAACCAACACTCTGAATAATTCTCTTCCTGGTTTTCATAATCTTTCATCATTCATGTAGTTCTGTGGCTTGGTTTAAGGCCAGAAATCAAACCAAACAAACTTGTTCCTGTGGAAACAAGGAATGCCACAGAAGGTTACTTATTACTTTATTGCAGGGGTCAGCAACCTTTTTCAGCCATCCCTCAGACCATGTGGTGGGCCGGACTATATTTTTTTGGGAGGGGGAATGAATGAATTCCCATGCCCCCAAAATAACCCAGAGATGCATTTTAAATAAAAGGACACATTCTGCTCATGTAACAACACACTGATTCCTGGACCGTCCGCGGGCCGGATTTAGAAGGCGATTGGGCTGCATCCGGCCCACGGGCCTTAGGCTGCCTACCCCTGCTTTCTTGTTTAATGACAATTGTTTAGGTAATTCTAGTCCAAGCTTAAGAGGTGCCATTTATACAATTAGCAATTGCATGGGCGACTTTTTAACAGTTAGCAGGGGAGGCTGATTTGAATCAGGTGGCAGGAAAGGATTAAAACCCCTTTGTGCCCCCCGCCCCTGCCAGGAACCTCCTGGTTAGTATTGGGCCCTGTGCCTGCTACTTATTTTTTAAAATGAAAAAGTAGTTGTGGTGTGAGAGCCAATATGGTGTAGCGGTTAGCGTGTTGGACTAGGACCTGGGAGACCAGGGTTCGAGTCCTCCCTCCGTCATGAAGCTCACTGGGTTACCTTGGGCCAGTCACAGTCTCTCAGCCTAACCTATTTCACAGGGTTGTTTGTAAGAATATGCCAACCTTGAGCTCTTTGCCAGAAAGGTGGGGCAGAAATGAATAAATACATACAAATCCATCCATGCAATTGCTAATTGTCTTCTCTATGTGTTCAATACTGGGGTCCTTCATTGGGGCAGGATCAGTCCAGCCATGGCGGCAAACGAGGCAGCTGTCTAGGTGGCTCCCACCTTTTCAGAAGTTGGCGGGGGGGGAATAAATTGGTGCCATCGGTTGTTTAGCTTGATATTTTCTGCTCAGATTGAACAGCCTCGTTGAAAGTTGTGCTGCTTTTCCGCAGAGAATCACATACGCACTTGCCTTTCACTGGGAAAATACCATCTCTAATTTTAGCTTGTGTCTTACTTTAGAAGAGGTCAGAGGAGCATTGCACTGTGCCTGACGGTGAGATTTGTGGCAGGCCAGCTCTTAGCAGTAGTGGTGGCTAACGGGGCATTTTTCTCCTTTACCTACAGGGTTATAGTTTTTACAACTGCTGGTACTTCTGTGTGGCCTTCTGCCTCACTCCATTCCTGCCACGTGAGGAGGCTTGCGTTCAACTTCTGCTGCTGGAAGTTGATCCACCATAGGTAAGCGCCTTTCCTTCTTACTGACTTTAACTGTAGGGTGAATTCACTGCGTGAATCTTCAGGAAACTCGTCTCTGTGCCTGGGTTTCCACATCTGAGATAAAACGGAAAGGTCTCTTGAAGGCAGTACCTTGCTTTTGCACCAAGCAACCTGAGAGTCATTGATGATTTGTTATTTAGTGCGGCAGCACCTGCACTTTGGAACTCCCTGAGATCAAGCAGGGTCCTTCACTGTGCTCTTTTTGGCGCCTTCTAAAAAAATTCTTGCTTTGACAAGACAACCCAGATGTTTAGAAAGCTGAGGTAATTCTAATCTGTTTTAGTATTTTAACTTTTGTATGCCTTAAAGTATGGTTATCTGTGCAAGAGCATTAAGGTATAAGAACATAAAAATAAGATAATAATTAAGCAGAAGCAGTAAATAATTAAAGAACCAGAAGGGGAAGTTGAGGGAAGTCACGAGGAGGGGGGGCTCTTCTTTTTTCTTTTATATGTTAAATGTTACATTGTGTTGTCTGATTGAATATAAAACTGCAAACATTCAGTAAAATTTCATAAAAAAAATAAAATAAATTATGGTTGTGGATTTTTCTCCCTGTTATCACTTTATCTTTTTGTAAACCATTTTTAGGTTGTTGTTTTTTTACATCCGAGCACTGTGTAAATGTTACAAAGCAAGTTAGTAAACAGATAGATTAGAAGAATGAATAATTCCGCCTTTCATTTCTAGAAGAAATACCAATTGCTAATCAGAGACACAGTATGGAATCAGTTTGAGGCTGTGTCTTTGTTGTTTGTTCAGATATGTTTCATGTGTTGAGTACTGATGGCCTTCAACAAAATGTGCTTCTGTAGCCAGCCAGCCAGCTATAACCCCCTCCACAATACTCCATTGATTCCATTCCCTTTTCCACCTTGTGTTCCATTCACCACTCAAGACAGTTTTCTGTACCCACTGAGCATGCCCAGCCCTCATCGGACTGTTTGGGGAAGTCACCCTCCTGTTAGATTCCTCCCCTACCTCCCCCCGGCTAAGAATTTATTGTACTTCTGAAAATCTTGGGGTTCCCACCTAGGGGTTCTTTTATGTCTGTAGGTGGTGGCATTTTGGCTGTGCAAATTTTGGCATGTGCAGCCTGGACATGGGAAATAGAGGGAGCGATTTACCCTCAGACTAGGTTTGATGAGTTTGAAATGTCTTGGATAAACACCCACCAAAGTGCTGGCACTAATTGGACCAGTGGCTCAGCTGGAAAGAGTTGCGGCGAGGTCCCCCAAGAGAGTTGGATTGGGAAATTTCTGGATGCATTGCACAATTTAGCCTTTTGCAAGTAAGCGTTTAAGCTCCACCTGCCCACCCCAAATCTTCCCCTACATTTTTACAAATGAGTCCTGCTCAGAAAGAAAGATGATGAGATGTATTATTTACCAGGCGCCACACAGAAGGTAGAATTACATCACCCTGCCCTCAGGCTTGCAATCTCATAAAAGGAGAGTGAAATAAAGGCATGGAACTGGAGGGGAAGGAAAGCAGATCAAAAGTTAGCTGGGGAAAAAGGCTAAGGGAAGTCTCGTGTTTTTAAACAATGGAGGCACACCTCTACGGTATATGTGGAATCCTTCTAAGACACAACTATAGCCATAGAGAAGGGCTGTAGCTCCTGCCTGATGCCCTGGAAAGCCACTGCCAGATGGTGTGTAGAGCATGGGTAGGGAAACTAAGGCCCAGGGGCTGGATCCGGCCTAGTCGCCTTCTAAATCCGCCCTGCAGACGGTCTGAGAATCAGCATGTTTTTACATGAGTAGAATGTGTGCTTTTATTTAAAATGCATCTCTGGGTTATTTGTGGGGCCTGCCTGGTGTTTTTACAGGTAAGCAGCCACCAGGGCTCGTCCGGTGCTGTGGAGAAGGGAGGGGAGAGTCGGTTGAGAGGGTGGCTTATAGTCCGGCCCCCCACAAGGTCTGAAGGACAGTGGATCAGCCCCCTGCTGAAAAAGTTTGCTGACCCCTGCTTTAGGGGAAGCTGTGACAGTTTAAAGTTGCATAACACTGCTTTAAATTAATAATGTGGATGTGGCCAGGGGGTAGGAGACAGGTTCCATGCATATGGCCTGCATCCATCTCTGGTTGGTTGGTGAGGCTAGGCATGTCTTCTCCATTGCTGAGATGTAGCAGTTGGATGGCTCCATGCTTCCTGCCGACCTCTGCTCCAGCCCTCTCTGCCTCTCAGGAAGGTGAACTGCTACCCCACCTGGGAATACAGGCCTCAACAAGAAGACACTTCATATTTATCCAGGATCTGGGATATTTCTCCAGGTTAGGACGGAGCGCCACAAGCCTAAGCTTGCAGGTAACTTCACCTGTTCTCCCCCACATCATGAATGAAGAAACGGCAGCAAAGAGAAACGAGAGATCTCCGTTGGCTCAGGAACTGCACTCTGCGATAAAAGCAACATTCAAACCGTCTGATCGTTTTATTAACCACCACGGGAACCGCCCAAATCTTTAAAGCAATGCCACAAACAAAATGCAGCTGTTTTCACACACTAGGCTGATTTCATAAACTCCTTTCCTCAGCGTAATTTTTAAAAGGCATATATTGGCGTGCGAACCTCTCCCGGCCCAAAGGCTGCCTCGCCTCATTCATTTCAATGGGTCTACTCGGAGAAGAACTTAGGTGGATGCAACTCAGTAGGGTGTGAAACACGGCATCATTTTTCTTCCAATTAATGCTAACCTGGCATACCTAGAACAGGGCAGCCTAACTTTCCATACCACGTGGGTCACAAGAATACTTTGACATGGAACCCACAGGCTGCACACTGCCTTGGGGGTGAGCAAGGCCAAAATTGGACGTTCCCCCCTCCCTGTGTCCTCATGCTGCCTTCCCAGGGCTGGTTAAGTGAGGGAGTGGTCTTTGGGAAGGAGGTAGGAGGCCGTGACAGGATTCTAGAGCCCTCCCGTCTCCTTCCCAAAGCCCAGCACCTTGTTTACCGGGCTTTGGGAAGGCAGGATGAGGCTGCAGGCAGGGGCAATCAAATGTTGCCGAAGGCCACCCCAAAAAGATATTGAGGGCCATATGTGGCCCTCAGGCTGTGTGTTGGACTGCCCTGGTCTAGAGCATCAGCTGGTACAGAGAGTGTGCAGAGCTACAGATAGACACATAGGAAGCTGCCTCCTACAAAGTCAGGCCATTGGTCTATCCAGCTCAGTATTCTCTAGACTCTACCAGGGGTCAGCAAACTTTTTCAGCAGGGGGCTGGTCCACTGTCCCTCAGACCTTGTGGGGGGCCGGACTATAAGCCACCCCCTCAACCGACTCTCCCCTCCCTTCTCCACAGCACCGGACGAGCCCCGGTGGCTGCTTACCTGTGTCTTGCGAGCGACAGGGGCTGGCGTGGCAGGGGCGGGACGATGAGCGACGCACGAAAGGGCTCCAGAGAGGGGCTGCTTAAAATGGCGGCCGCTTGAGCGCTGTTGCTGCTGGCACCAACAAAGCCCAGCCCCCTTCCTCCTCTAGGCAGGGCAGGGAGAAACCAGGAGGAGGGAGGGAGGAGGCGGCAGCGCCAAGGGAGGGAGAAGGGAAAAACACAGGCACTGGCGATTCATGCGGCGATTCCCAGACCATCTGTGGGCCAGATTCAGAAGGCAATTGGGCCTGATCTGGCCCGTGGACCTTAGTTTGCCGACCCGTGCCCTAAAGAATCCTTGGAGCAGGGTGCTGAGAGTTGTCCCCTTTCAGAGCTGCAGTTCCCAGGGTTCCCTGCAAAGAGGGATTGATTCTTAAATCACTCTGGGAATTGGTGCCTTGGGAGGGGAATAGGATATGGTTACCAGACGTCCCCGTTTCCCAGAGACTGTCTCCAGATTTACAAATCAGTCCTCATACAAAATCCATTGAAGTTGCAAAGTGTCCCCGGATGCATTGAAAAAAAATCTGGTAACCTTAGAATAGGAGTCTCCTAAGAACTCCTAAGAACTCACCAGTGCAGCTTCGTCACGCTGGCCACGTGACCCGGAAGTGTCTTCGGACGGCGCCGGCTTCCGGCCTCTTAAGTGAGATGAGCACACAACCCTAGAGTCGGTCACGACTGGCCCGTACGGGCAGGGGTACCTTTACCTAAGAACTCTCAGCATCGTGTTTGGCCTTCAGGGCCATTTTCACCAAACTGCAGCCGCTCGCCCCCACACTTGGTGCCATACCTGGTCAGGTATGGGGCAGTTACTGCTGTGGCTTCAAAGGAGCAATAGGGAGCTTGAAGTGAGCTCCTGATGGTTCATTTCCTGGAGGAAGGCATGTTCCCACAGCGCCTTACACTGGGATGGGAATTGGTGTCCGTTGAAACCACTGCTAAAATGGAGATACGTAGAACATTGTGTGTTTTAATTGGTTGTTAGTTTATAATTGATTTTAATTAAATGTCTTAAACAGCTGTTTCTAACTTATTTATTTAGTTAAGTTCTTACATTACATCATCAGACATTGTCATATTACATCACAAAACTTATTATACTGTAATTTCCAACCTGTATGTATACTTTATATACATAAAGAAAAAAAATAAAAAAGCTATTCCAAACTTACTCTGAAATCATATATATACCAACACTTTGGACTTCCTGTCTATCCCGTTGTATATTCCTCTTTTTTTTTTTTTAACAAAAGAATGTACTCTTCTTATATATTTCTTTACATTTTATCTAATACATTCCTATATCAATATGTACTCTTGGTCTTGTTTTTCAACTCAGTCTCTCTCCAACGTCAATCAAATGCTTGGATAGATAGTGAACCATTACTGTATTTTTCAACATATATCTTATATCTATCCCACTGTTTCTAACTTTTTACTGATGATTTTGTTTTATTCTTTTTTTGCAAACCGCTTTCAGGTTTATTCAGGGTTTGTTTTGTTTTTACAACCAAGCGGCATGTAACTTTTATTAAATGAACAAATGTAAAGCCTAAAGATTCCTACATACTGACCCATTCCCACCCCCCACCCCGTTAATTCAGATGTTGATCTCCCGCCTTTCCCTTCCTTAGGTTCCTTCATTTGTAATACTGGCTACTTCAGCCCCCACCCGAGCAAAGCCACTCTCCCACCGATATGGCGGAAGAAGACCTTATCTTTCACATGGAATGCTTCGATAACACCAAGCCAGCGAAAGCAGTCTCTGGGAATTACCACGACACCGATAGCGAGGATGAAGATGATTACTATATCTGCCCGATAACAGATGACCCTGTTGCAAACAAGGCAGCTGGTGACAAAGTCAGCAACTATTACACCAACTTGATGAAAAATGAGCTGTATTCATCCAGCGCTTCTCCTAGGAGTTCTTTTGACATCAAGGTTAGTTTGCACCAGTCTCTCTCTTTCCTGGCATTTCCTGGGCTGGCATGAGGTCAAAACTTTCTTCCCCTGCTGTGTTTCTTGTAACTAACTACTGTGATGTACAACTTGCGTGCGTTTTACCCAGACCTGTAGCTGCTCTCAAGACAATGGCCCACCCCTTTAGACCAATTTGCAGTTTGCTCATTTCCTGTGCGTAGACCGAAGTGTGAAGCCGTAAACATTCGGCACAGAGCTGGCTTGTGTGTTTGTAAATACACAGAAGACACAGGTTGTGGAGCTGCAGTTGATCATGGCCACAATTGTTGGCAAAGTCTGTTAAATAACCCAGACGGAGTCCAAAGAGAAAATAAATCCTGGTAATACTTTGCTGAGGAAACTGAACGGAAGGCAATGTATAATTTGAAGAGAAAGGAACAGACATGTCTTTCTCTATCTCCAGGCCTTGTACATAGCAGGGAGGTGTCCAAGCAAGCATACAAAGGAAAACTCCCTCAAAACTACACAGCCTATCAAGGCAGTGTGCCACCTCAGCAAAACATCATTCCACCTGAACTGCAGCCCTTGTTGAGCTGGCTTTGGTCCTAAGGCCTCCATTATTATAATAATTATTGGCAACTCTCCATTTTCAATTATAATTACTTTCTGTGATAGCAATGTATTACGTACTCTTCAGCCATTGCTCTCTGTGTGGGATGCGAGACAACAAAAAGCTACAAGAGTCACAATAAATAAAAGCATAACTAGTTGCAGCAAGCTGTTTCATAAAAGCAGCATAAACGAAAGGTAAAGCCAAAAGGTATTGGCAGGTAAAATGGGTTTTCACCTGGTGCACCTGGCAGACCTCTCTGGGAAGGTGTTTTTCCAGCTAGGGCGCCATAGCCGAAAAGGCCCTGCCTCCCGCCGCCATCTCTCTTCCTTCTGATGTCAGAGGGACATGGACAGGTTTACCCCTGAAAAACCCCACTCTGTGTGCAGCAAACATAATTGCCGTGTGACTCATTTGAAAACTCTGGCCCTTGCCGTTAGCTTCCATATATGGGATGTTGTCACTGATGTTTCTTAAGAAGTATCACTCTGGGCCAGAAGTTAGATGTCTGTCAGTGAAAGGCTGTTGGGAAGCAGAGGAGAGGAACACCAGTTGAGAGAGAAGTGAGCAGAACTGTCAGTGTTTCCCAACCTTGTGCCTCCAGCTGTTTTTGGACTACAATTCCCATCATCCCTTGCCACTGGTCTTGCTAGTCAGGGATGATGGGAGTTGTAGTTCAAAAACAGCTGGAGGCACAAGGTTGGGAATCATAGAATTGTAGAGTTCGAATGGATCCCAAAGGTCATCTGGTCACAATCCCCTGCAGTGCAGGAAAGCGTAGAAAAACTGGCTTTCAAAAACTTTCACCAAGCGCAATGGATGTGTTGATTGTCTTGAAAAGTGACTTTCATTTAAATGCTATTTTGGTCTGTTCTACATGTCTTCTGCTTAATTGTTTCCCATGTATGTCCTTTAGAATGGCACTCAGCAGCATTTTAAGCATGGCTCTGCCGTTGACCATAGCTGGGTAGGTCAAAAATGAATGCGGCAACATTTTAAAATAAATTTCTTGTTTGAGGTGGGCTCAAGTGGTTTAAAACCCAGATCCCACCATTTCCAGAAAAATCATATGCAGTTTTATGCACACTTCTCTTAATAAACACAGTTTTGTATGCAGTTTTCCCTCACATAAGCATTTTCACTAATACGCACATTTTGTGCACAATTTTGTGTTCGAATTTTGTGTTCGACAGTGGAATTTGCTGCCAAGGAGTGTGGTGGAGTCTCCTTCTTTGGAGGTCTTTAAGCAGAGGCTTGACAACCATATGTCAGGAGTGCTCTGATGGTGTTTCCTGCTTGGCAGGGGGTTGGACTCGATGGCCCTTGTGGTCTCTTCCAACTCTATGATTCTATGATTCTATGATTCTATGATTGGGCTGAGTGTCTTGGAGAATGAAACAGCCATTTGTCTGAAGTTGTAATATTCATCTGCATCCTTTACATACTAACATGCCTTTTGCTTCATGCGGTGAGCTGGGATTTTTGGTTCATTTTCAAGCGGCTTTTGCTTCTCAGTTTGATTATATGTAGCTTGTTTTGTGTGCCCCCCCCCTTACTTTTTCCTCAAGAGCATGTTTGAGTTTGACTGTATCACTGGGACATTAAAAAATAAGAAGAGGAATACATGAGCAGATCCAAAGAAAGAATACGTCTGGCTGAGATTAGCGGTCAAGGGGCTCCCACCAGCTGAGGCAGGGACGTACTCCCAAAATATTTTGTTGTAAAAGAAAATAACTCTGCTTTAAAAGAAAAACACAAGTTCAATCTTGGCTCTCGTGTTGATTATCATTTGTTGAGCAAATTAAGTTAACTTGGATAGGCAGAAAATATTAAAAATACATTTAAGGAACCGCAGAAAGAGGGGGAAGGAAGTCAAGTTTTGAAATGTTGAAATGACTGTAAAATTATTGAAATGTACAAAATTGAAAATCATAAATAAAATATGTTTTTTAAAAAGAAAAATTTAAAAGCAAAATGCATCCAGTGGAGGGCCATTGGCCTGAACTAGTAAATCCTTACACATATTTACCTCCCCCCTCCTTGATGTCATATCCCCCTCCTGATGTCAGAGTAGTGCAGGCAGCTGTGGTTTTTCCAGAACAGGTCCAAATGTAGAGGCAGGCCCAGGAGACTTGTGTCCACAGACAAATATCCTTTATCCTGCACCGTTTTCGGGCTCTCTCTGTGTGCTTCCCTTTGCAAGACTGAGGTCCAAAAGTATGATGGGAGATCAGTGATTGTGCTTTATCTCTGACGGCCTTTTGTGAATAACTCGACACTTTCCAACTTCTGCAGCAAGCCTGGAAGCACGCCATTGAGAAAGCCAAGCACATGCCTGACCCATGGGCGGAATTTCATCTGGAGGACATTGAAACGGAAAACGCAACACGTTACAGGTTTGTAGGCACTTCTGCTTCTAGTACTGATGTTCCATATGTGTCCCTCTGGGCTTAGGTGAGGGGCAGGGGCACATCCACCAATGGTGGCACAGATTTCATACAAGATCTTGCCTATTTTGGGTGAGATCTTGCCCCAAATCACATGAGATCCATTTTTATTTTTTTTGCTCTACAAAATCTTGTGCGATTTCGGGCAAGATCTCGCCCCAAATGGGCACAATGTTGCCCGAAATTGGTGCCGATTTGCAGCATCACTTCTCTGCTGTTGGCAGAGGTCGCAGGCCAGGCGGGAGACCTGCAGGCGGGCAGCCTGAGGCAGTGACTTCACCCTGCCCAACGGCTGAGCCGGCACTGGCAGGGCAGGGCTATGTGTCAAAGGGGTTTGTTTTTTTTCCGAAATAGTCCATCTTGAAGCATCTTGAAGCAGAGGCAAATATTAATATCTCTCTCTCCCTGAGTATGGACTTTTTAGTGGCACCCTAGGAGGAAAAATATGTGATCAGGAAGATGTTAAGAGGCTTGCTGCTGATTGATGTGCAAATAGGTTAAACAAAATTGGCAATAACCACATTACTTCTTTTAATTAGTTGTTGTATTTATGGCTCTTGCCTGTATGCCCTGATAGGTTCTTGCTTGCGGGTGTTCTGTTCTATTTCACATTTTATTATTAACTTCCATTGCAGGTTTTTAAAATAAATACCAACCAACAGTTTAGGTAACCTTTATCTGAACCGGAGTTAAGCTGGTTATCCAGAGTCCATGTGGCTTGTCCATTACTGCCCCTTGCCTCACCCCTTGTAAACATGTCTTGCACGTATCCTGATTTTTGATTCTCCAAATCTTATCTTTTTCTTCTTTGTCCCAAGCTACAATTGTGAGCTCATTGGCGTTGTCTTAGGAATTAAATCTTCATAAGGAAGAAAGCTTCCAACATGCTTTTATGCAAAGCTATAAATAGTTGGGCCTCTTAGAAACGCTCTGTGCCGTTCTTAAAATAGTGTTTGCTTTCTCTCGGGTGTGCGTGCTCCTCTACTACGCACAGCCAGAATGTAAACCTTTTTAAAAGGACCAGTGCCGGCGTGCTCAGAGCAGAACTGACCTCTGACTTGTGTGCGTTCCTGCTGGGCAGACAAGCTCATCGGAACATGCTGTACATAATGCACATCTGAAGTGTGCATTCGCTGGGTGCGAAATGAGTGCAACTAAGCATGTTATGGCAGGATTACATAAGGAAAGGTGGAACAAAACTGTCAGAAATAGATCGTTGCTCAACACAGTTCAATTATTATAGCTCTCTTTTCCTATTAAAAAGATCTTGAATCGCAGTCTCTGCAGAAAAAGACAGATAATATTTGAAATACATTGGCTGATAAATTGTCTCCTGTGCGACTTTTAAGGAAAGTGTTGGGCACACCCTTCTTCCCAGGTCAAGTCAGTCCTTTGCTTAATCTGAAACCCTCTTTCCATTATAAACAAAAACCTCAGGAAAACCAGTCATGGAGCTATATGGAAATCTGTAATTCCTCCATAAAATACTATAACCACATAAAATCACTTTTGTTTTGACAAGGTTTTCCAGCTGGATGAAAAAGTATCCACCTTAGGTGTTTATTCTGAATTGTTTTTCAAACTTCCATTGTTTCATACTGTATTTTAAACTACCGTTCTTTATGTTGCAGCCCTCAATGCCACCTCCCCTGCCGCCACCAAATACTGTCCCAAGAGTTCCCCCAAACCTTGGATCAGATTTAGAAATTGGGGCAAGGGCTGTGGAAGGAAGGGGGAATAATAGAAAATTGCCTCCTAGTGCCCCTTCATAGAGGCCTCCACAGGATCAAGGAGCTTCTATGAATGGTTGCAATTGGGGGGGGGATGGCTAAAATGTTTTGATTTGAAAGACAGTTAAATTGATCTTTTAATCGACGGTACCTGATGGGTGCTTATTTTTATATGTTTTATTACAAATATTGTGCATGTGTGTTTTAAATTCTATTTTCCCTCTCTGGTATTTTTTTTTGGGGGGGGGTTATTGGGTTGTTCTTGCTTTTATTTTGATTATATATTTTGTGTTTTTATATTGTGATTTTATCCTGTGAACCTCCATGAGACCTGTGGGCATGGGGCGGTATATAAATGTTAATAATAATAAATTTGTGGTATGAGACTCACATGAAAGGCAATTCACAAGATAATGACACAGACCAGTTCCTCCAGTTTCACATGTGCTTCATGTGTGTTGCATAGCATGTAGTGATAAGCAACATGTGAATACACATGTACAGAATTGCACATAAGCCAGATTGTGGCTGCCTCCACACCATACATTTAAAAGCTAATTTAAAGTGCGCACGCGCACACACATCCTTGAGACTATAGTTTTTACCCTTCACAGAGCTACAATTCTCAGCTCCCTTAACAAACCAGAGTTTCCAGGATTCTTAAGGGGGTGGGAATGTGCTGGGAATGTGCTCACAGAGGCCTAGTCTCAGCATGTCTGATGCTGTTTGCTGTGCTGATCCTTTAAAGGAAAAAATAATCCACATTCTTTCTTACAAGGGAAAGTAGAAACTATTTCAAGTATTGTGCAGTGCGCGCCCCAAACCCTTATGCACAGTCACATGTGGCTCTGCAGAAATTTTAAGGACAGAAAGAGACAGCATTTCTCCCTAGCTGGTGCCAAAGATATGCAGATGATGGCTATCTGTCTCTGGCAACTTGCTGTTTCAGCTGAACGTGAAGCTACCAGTTCGACCAGTTTGTGGTAAAAGAAAACCCACAGTGAAACAATCACACAACTAAAGCAAGGATGTTGTTCTCCCCTTCACAGTCGGAGGGAGGTGGGGGGGAGGGAACTCCCAAAACCTTTGTTTCTTGTTCAGCCAAACAGTGATTAAGGGTGTTGAAAGTTGGCAATGGTTTGTATAGCCAAATACTGTTTTCTCTCTCAGCTCCCGTACGTTGAATTTTATTGCACTGAGAGGAAACCCATATTGCATTCTTCCCTTCAGAGTTGTTGTTATATATATTTATTAGCTTATTTACTCGTGAAAATGAGTCAAAATGATTTACAAACACAACAGGAATACTAAAACCAATTATAATAAACAGAATCAACAAAAATCTAACAAACATGTCTATTTGTTTTATCCTGTTCCAACCAAAGAGGCCACAAATACTTACAAATGCTGCAAACAAGGGGTGGAAACCTGGGTAAAACTCTCTCCCCCCCCCAGCTCCTAAAACTAGCTAAAGAGGGTTCCGGGGGGGGTGGCATTCCACAAGCAGGGAGCCACCACCGAAAAGCCCCTTCTTGTGTTGCCATAAATCTCCTTTGAAGGGGGAACATGGAGAAGGGCCTCAAATGATGATCACAAATATTTTTCTGTCACTTTTAAAAAACTGATGTTTTTCATTTTTAATGTTGTGCATGTGTGTGTTTAAATTGCTTAATGTTGTTTCTGTGAGGCTCCTTGAAAGGGCTTGTTTTTTGTCTTGAAATAGAGCGTAAGTGTATCGTAATAAAACAAACTGTGAACGATTCGTTATTACTTCTACTTTGACCCCTACCTCCAGAAAGTTATCTTCCAAAGTGTATATGTATATATTAATACGTAAACACGCATAACTCCCTTGGGTGGGGTACACAGATAATATCCCAATAGGCCAAACGACTTGGTAGGAAGTGAAATAGCAGTTTTGCTAGGCAGCCTGCCAAGGAAAAATTGCTGCCCCTGTCCTTAAAACAGTGGCATGTGGCTGTACCTAAGGGCATGTCTGAATTATTTGCCCCTTGTATACTTAGTCCCATTTTCATTTGTCCCTCTTTGTTTCTGTACTGCTGTTGCTTATTCACACTAACAGGCCAGCCGCCAGCAGACAGCACTCTCAGGGAATTGCTAGGACTCCAACCTCTAGGCTAACCCACGACTGACTCATGTCTTTAGCATTTTTTTCTCTCTCCCAGACCTTCCAGTCAGCTTTGTTTGGGAGACGTGAGACAAGAGCAGGGACATTTCTCTTCCACTATCTGTGGGTTTCCCAAGAAGTGTCTGGTTGGACACTGTAGAAAGTAGGATATTGGATTCTGTCAGCCATCAAGCTAACCCATGAGGGCTCTTCTTGTGTTCTTAATTTTTGTTGACTACTGTAATTCGCTCTACGTGGGGCTGCCCTTGAAACTGTCCCACAAACTCCAGCAGGTGCAGAATGCTGCAGCGAGGTTCCTCACGGGGTCCCTGCTATGGGAGCATATTCACCCTGTGCTTTACCAGTTGCACTGGCTCCTGGTGGAGTATAGGGTCATGTTCAAGGTGCTGGTCTTGACCTTTAAAGCCCTTTGTGGCTTAGGGCCCTCGTATCTATGGGACCGCCTCTCCTGGTATGCCCCACAGAGGACCTTAAGGTCCATGAATAACCATAGTTTAGAGGTCCTGGGTCCTAAGGAAGTCAGACTATCCTCCACCAGGGCCAGGGCCTTTTCAGTGATGGCTCCAACCTGGTGGAATGCTCTGACCCCTGAGACTAGGGCCCTTCAGGATTTAACCTCCTTCCGTCAGGCCTTTAAGACAGAGCTATTCCGCCTGACCTTTAATTTGAATTCAGCCTGATCTTTTATTTCCCTTCTCTTCCCTCCCCCTCTTCTTTTATGAAGTTCACCCACTCTGAGACCCCACAGTTAATTCTCCCCTGACCTCCTCGCTGGCCCAAGTAGGACCAATTCAGCCAGCTAGCCCTGGGGATTATCTAATTGATTTTTGATTTTTGAATTTTATTGTTATTCATGTTTTTATACCCTATTTTATGCTGCTTTTATAATTAAGTGTTTTAAAGTGTTTTAAATTTGTTGTTAGCGACCCTAGCTCGGTTTTTGAACCGGGAAGGGCGGGGTATAAATAAAAATTTATTATTATTATTATTATTATTATTATTATTATTATTAATTTCCCACAATGCCCCTGATGTAGCATCACACTGGGGCACTGTGGGAAATTCAAAAGTGAAAAGCAGGCCCTCTCCATTTAAAGCCTGGCAGTGTGGTTAAAACAAATAATAGTTTCTTTTTCTTCCTTCCTTGGTGATGTTTAACTATCAGACCCATGTTGTTTCTTACTTGGCAGATACAATGCTGTTACTGGAGAGTGGGTCGAGGATGAGGTTCTGATCAAAATGGCTTCACAGGTGAGAACTTTGCGAATTCTTGGCTTCCGGTCCTACCTGCCTTAATGGAGGCAGCCCCACGACGGCGGGGGATTGTCGGCGAGTTTATTTATGGCATTTTAAAAGTCCCGCTCTTCTTCCAGGATGCATATTAGCCCCCCTGCTTTATCATCAAAGCAGCCCTGCAAGGTTAGATTAGGCGAAGAGTTAGTGATTGGCCCAAGGTTACCTGGTGAGCATTACGGCTGAGTGAAGACACGTGCCTGAGTCTCCCCTACTCCTTTTCTAGCCATTTAACCTCCACAGTGTTGTGTAATGGTTAGAGTGTTGGACTAGGATCAGGGAGACCCAGGTTCGAATTCCCTCTTGGCCATATGGAGCTTGGGCCAGTCACTATCTCTTAGCCTAACCAGTCACTATCTCTTAGCCTAACTTACCTCACAGGGTTGTGAGGATAACATGGGAAGGAAGAGAAATGTATATACCGCTTTGAGCTCCTTGGAGGAAAAGTGTGGAATAAATCCAATAAATAAATAAATGGGAGTTTGTACTGAGCCTGTTGTTGCTTCAGACTGCTGCATTCTGAAAATACTTTTCCACAGAAAACACTGGGTACTGATACACCCATTTATATTCAACAGGGAGTTTGCCCCTTTTGGGCTGGGGAGGGCAGTAGTCTCCTGTCTCTCACCTGCCGAGTCTATTTCCAAGTCTCAGTACTTGGCCTGCAAATTCCCTCTGGACCTTTATTGCTTGGAGTGAATCTGCACATTACCTGTTTTGACTGGGATGCTTAACCCTTCCCACACCAGCTAATTTTCTCAAGCAAATAAATGCCTTCCCATGATTTTTCCTCTCAGATCACCTTCCCATCTCAGAGCCCAGTTAAGGGTGAAAGTGAATTAATCGCATCTGGGAATTAGCATCTTGAAGGGGATACTTGCTGGGAAGAATTGGATAGGGGACACTCACTGCTTCCTTCCCACCAATTCTAGCTGGCAGCTCAACCTCCAAAGCAATTATAAAGCTTCTGCTTGTGAGCTATGATAAAAAATAAGTGTACCCCTTCTAGGGCTTAACTCACACTTAAGATAAAAGGCGCTATCTACATATTACAGAATGCTATGAAAAGAGGCCATTAACTCCCACTTTAGCTTTTTCTTGCCCTCCCAGTAAATTTAAAATACAGAAAAGTAACCTAGTTCAGGGGGGGTTTTCCGCTTGATGAGCCTGTTTTCACATCGTTTGATTTTTATATTGCTCTTTCATTATGGGCTGGGCTGTTCTTTACTGTTGCAAATGGCTGCTCTGAGTAATATGAGTGCATTAGAAGGGCAGGAGTCAGGATATAAATATTTGAATACACATGTAAGGAAAACATGGACTTGGAGAGTGTATTTCCAGTATGGATGCTTTAGCTGTTGTGACAGTTCTCTGCATTCTCAAAAGGATGCCTGCAGCTCGTATGATTTTCTTTCAGTTACTGGGAGTACAGGCAGAATTTTTCAAATACAAATAACCTTTGGATGAGTAACGATTGATCATATTTATATTGATTTTCAGCCTTTTGGCCGTGGAGCAATGCGGGAATGCTTCAGAACGTAAGTGTATCTCTGCTTATAAATATTCTTGGGCTGTATTTTGCAGGATGGGAGATTGAGCCTAAAAGCAATGAAAAGAAAACAATCAGAGCCAGAGAGAGCAATGTGAGGCCACATTTGGCCCTAGATCTGAGATTTTGCATTCTTGCCCTACAGACTATGGGGTGAGAACCCGACAACTATAAGAATGTCACCTTATTGCAGAAATTATCCTGGCTCCCATGCTATCATGTTTTCAAAGAGCATTAAGTTCAATTTTCCCCCCCCTATTCCTTGTTCTCTCTTGGTCTTTGGTCTTGCAGGAAAAAGTTATCTAATTTTTTACACACTCATAACTGGAAAGGTGCCTTTAACTATGTTGCCAAGAGATACATAGAAACCGTCAACAGGGATGTCTACTTTGAGGACGTGCGACTCCAAATGGAGGCCAAGCTGTGGGGAGAAGAGTATAATCGTCACAAGCCCCCCAAGCAGGTACCTTGTTCTAAGTCGGTGAGCAAAACACCACCCCCACCACTCAGGGGAGGCAAACAGTTCATTGAGTTTCTGAATTAATGCCGGTTAATTACGACGAATAAATCCATGACCATTTCACTGGCAGCTTAAAGTAAGTTGAATTCTGTGGCGATCACACACAGGGCCCCCGGACGTTTGACGGTCTGTTGACCCTGTGCCGCCACTGCGATTGCTTTTTCCGCTGCCACCACCCCGTACCTCACGGGGACACACGGAGTCCAGTCAGTTGTTAACATAAAATAATCAAGTTTATTTTTAGATGCAGGAACAAGCTTATGGTTTCAGTTAGTTTTTCTTGACAGTTTCTTCATCTTAGTTCCTAACAACTCCAAACTAATTATTCCATCTACCTATCTGACTCCACCTAACAATTCCTCTCACTCTCTCACAATACAACTCTACCAACCCACTTCCTATTCCTCCCTCTTCCTTCTTCAACACCCAAACCTCAACTCTCAACTCAACTAACCCAACTGACTCAACTGACTTTCAAAGCCTCCCACTCTAACTTTTATTCCCCCCTTGCATTCTCTCTGGCCAATCACATCACACCTATTTTAACCCTTTCCTTATGACCCATCCGAGGAGGCAAACGCCACAAATTCCAAAAAAAGCATTCAGTGGAACTTGCTGTGATTTGTCTTACACAATGGAGCGTGTAACACGGGCAACGTTCCTGATGGACTGGGCGCAAAGAGTAATTTATAACTGGCTGCAATTTCCTCTGTTCTTTAAATAGAAACTTGAATTGTTTTTAAGTGAAGGCACTTAGCTGTGTGTCACGCCCTTCTGCCCAAATGCCATAAATCACACCAGCAATTCTACTCTGATTTCAGGAAACAGATCCTCAGCATTTACCTGCATACATTTATTCTGGGAACTATAAGTCCCGTCAGGGGAAAAGGCAGGGTATAAATAAATACCGGTATATTATTATTATTATTATTATTATTATTATTATTATTATTATTATTATAGCAAGTTTGCCCCTCACAGAACTACAGTTCCCAACACCCACAACAAACTTCAGTTCCTACAACTCTTTGGGGGGGGAGTGTGCTTTGAATATACTTTGGAAATATGGTGTGTATGCTGCAGCCCGTGTTCCTTTATAGCCTCCTTTTTTGGTCAGAGTTTACCATTTGACGGGAATTGTGTGGGGAGGGGCACCCTCACTGTTTCTTCTAAACTTCCTTGCTTCCTTCCTCAGGTGGACATAGTCCAGACCTGTATCATTGAAATGAAGAACAGACCTGGCAAGCCCCTGTTCCACCTGGAACATTACATCGAGGGCAAATACATCAAGTACAACTCAAACTCAGGATTTGTGCGAGACGACAACATCCGCCTCACCCCGCAGGTGAGACTTTCTTGGTAACTGGATTAGTTTTAGTGAGCTAGCTGTGGGCCTTTTCGGCCTGAGCTGGCTGTCATCAGAGGCAGTCCAGAAGCAGACGCCCGGCCCCAAGTGCCCAGGCAGGGGGTCAAGATTCGAGGCAGTGATTGGAAAAGTTGAGCAGCAGCTTAGGCCCTGTCCTCAAAAAAGAAGACCAATGTTACTCTGAGATAAGGGCTTTACAGGGACCAAAGGACAGGGATTGGCCCCACTGAGGTCACCTCACTGAGTGACCCGGCAAGCTGCTCCTGCAGTGTAGATGGCGCTCACACTTTTATGGCTATCCCTGCTTTGACTTCCTGTCTCTGAACTGGAGACTATCTACATGAACACTCCCTGACGCTTGATAGGCCTGTTAGATGGGGCTCTGTGACATTGCTGCCCTTGTAATGCTTTTTTGCTGAGTTATTCTAGCTTGCCAGTCTAATGCCCCTTACGCTTTTATGGCTCGAGCTTTCAAGGTTCCGTTACTTTTTAGTTAGGAAAATGGGAATACCTTGGTATCTGCTTAATGAAGGCAGGAGCTCCAAGTCTGCTTTCTGCCTTAAGTTGTCTTGGAGCTGGTCTAGATGTTATACTCGTACCTTGGTAGCTTCTGAAAAGTTGGAAACTGTGTGACCAAGCCTTTGTGTGTGAAGTAATTAGTGTAGAGAAGTTCCTAATCCAAGGGATGAGCCTGTTTTTTCCATTGTGCTGTGGCCTCTAATTTTTGGGTGGTTGAGCCTCTGTAGGTTGCTGGCTTGTGTGTACAGCTTCCCGGGTGGAAGTTCCATATTTATGTGGAGCAAGAGCTGTAGCTCAGTGGTGGAGCACCTGCTCTGCATAGTTCAGTCCCCAGCATCTCTTGATAGCACTGGGAGAGACGCTTATCTGAATTCCTGCAGAGCCACTCTATTCAGCATAGATTAGGTGTTCCCAAACAGAGGTCCACAGACAAGCTTCATTCAGGTGGTTCACGGCGTGTCCGTGAATTTGTGGCTGAAGACGGGAAACAGCGCATCCATCCCTTGAAATATTCCTCTTAGCTTCCAATTGCATTTTTATTGCTCCTTCTGTTTCCTGTATTGTATCTTACTGTATTTCAATTTGCTTTCTGCAGAACCCAAATTGAAACACAGTAAATGCAATGCGTGAGAAATAAACGAAGCAATGAAAATGCAATTACAAATCACATGGCATCTAGCACAGAGCATTGCAATTGCTGCAGACAGGCAGAAAATCAGTGGTTTTTTGGGGGGGAGTGGGAACTTTGAGAACGGCTGGGGTAGACAATGCTGAACTAAATGGACCAGTTGGTCTGACTAGATATAAGGCAGCTTCCTATGTTGCTAAGCTTACAATTTCCTGCAGGCTTTTAGCCATTTCACGTTCGAACGCTCGGGACACCAGCTGATTGTCGTTGACATCCAAGGAGTCGGAGATCTTTACACAGACCCTCAGATCCACACAGAGAGTGGCACAGACTTTGGCGATGGCAACCTAGGTAAAACCTGGCCTGTCGTTTTTGTAGCCTTGGTAGTTCGTTAGTGAAGCGATTCATAGAATCAAGGGATCGTAGATTTGGAAGGGACCCTGAGGGTCATCTAGTCCAACCCCGAAGTGCTGACGGGCTTTGGGGCCAATGCCGAGGCAAACTGCCCCTTACGTTGCAGCCATTGGTCAAGGAGCCCTAATAATGTGGCTCCTTGTGGCTTATTTCCCTTGAAATAAAATTCCATAACCCTGTTTAAACGTCCCATTATTCATGTGCAACATTTTGAAGTCCCAAGGTGTTTTGACAACAGTGAGAGATGCCTCAATGTTCTGCACAATTTCAGGGGGAGGATTTAGAACTTGGCGTGCTGAAATTCTTCTTTTGATACCCTCAGGTGTGCGAGGGATGGCCTTGTTCTTTCATTCTCATTCCTGCAACAAGATTTGCAAAAGCATGGGACTGACACCTTTTGACCTCTCCACCAAAGAGAAAGATGCCTTATTTCGAAGTAATAAATTGCTTGTAAGTGCTCCCTCTTGTACCGCTAAACTGTGACCCATTTTTGCTATCATATCCAGGTCTGCTTCTACATCTAAACAGCTAAGCAGCATCTAATCACTGCTGTTCCATTTGAGCTGGAAATGGAGCGTATAAATTAAAATGATGGCTCTGGTTATTCAAGAAGCAGTTTTGTTGCCCCCCCCCCCCCGCCTCTGCCATGGTCCTGGCTCTGCTGTTCGCATTGGAAGGAAAGCTCTCATTTCCACAAGTGGGGTCTTTCTTCCCAAAGCATATAGCACCCAAATGAGATTGGGTAGCCCTTTCTCCTTAAGGGGTAAAATTCCTCTTATTCCAGGCACAGAACTTGTTATTTGCTATTTTCTAACCCATTCTCACAATTTCTAATTGAATAAATAAGGACACATCCACATCATACGTGGCTTTCCCAAAATAATCCCCAAACACTGTGGTTTGTTAAAGGTGCTGGGAATCCTAGCTCTGTGGGGAAGGAACTACAGTTCCCAGGATTCTTTGGGGGGGGGAGCCATGTGTTTTAAGTATATTGTGTGGATGTAACGCATCAAGTCTAGTTTGGGCCCTGGGTCTGTTTCAGATGTTTTCCTTCATTGTCTCCAGTCTACATCTTCCCTTGAAATAGTTGGTGAAGGCTGGGCGGTTCTTTATGACTGCATAACAGCAGCATTTCCCATGCTGACTGGGGCTGATGGGAGTTGTAGTCCACAATACCCAGAGGGCACCAAGTTGGAAAAGGCTGCATCGGGCCCGCCATGCCTAGAACGTGTCACTGGGTGGTGGCTTGTCTCTTCAGATGTTGTGAAGAGAAAACGGGAACCTGATATCTGAGGCACTTCATGTGGAGTTTCGTTTTGTTTTGCCAAGGAAAATGCTCAGACCGTTCTGCGAGGCACAGAAGAAAAATGTGGCAGCAGCCGTGTCAGAACCGTCTCTGGCAGCCGGCCTCCTCTGCTTTTCCGTTTGTCCGAAAACTCTGGAGATGAGAGCATGAGTGATGTGGCCTTCGACTCGTTGCCCTCTTCACCTTCTTCAGCGACACCCCACAGCCACAAAACTGAACATCTGCGTAAGTGGCGTATAGGGTTGTCAGACGATTCTGGCTCACTCGGCATTTAGGGATGGGCCTACCCATTTTGGCCACCCCCAGACCATGCAAGGATCAGAACAAATGCAATTGGATTTCCCCCCTATATTCAACGAACCGATACATGCATGCGTTGCAAAAACACAACTGTGCCTCCTTTATTTTTAAAACATTTTACAGCTGCTTGGAGCAGTTGGTAGCTTCAGTTTATTCACATGGTAAAACAATCTTATATAATGCTCCCAGGAAGCCAGTATATGTCTTAAATAAAGAGAAGGTTCTATATTTCATAGAATCATAGAACTGTAGAGTTCAAAGGGACCATAAGGGCCATCTAGTCCAAACCTGCAATGCAGGAATCTCTCTCTCTTTTAGACACCCTGCTGCTGATTTTCTCTCCCTTTTTAATTTGTATTTTATTATGTATTTCCAACTGTTCTGATTGTATTTATGTAACTTTTTTGTTTTTACCTTGTGCAGATAGCATTGATATTTGTGTTCGGTGTTGTAAACTGCAGGCTCTTCCACACTTCAGTTTGCCGTGCTGCTTCCCTGCAGAAACCCACAATTTAGTGCTGAATAAATGGCAAGCAGGTTTTCCACAGAAAATAGTTTGTTTTCTGAGGGTGAGCAGCGGGGCAAAGGCAGAACCGCGCAGCTCTGTGCTTTCTAGGTGTGAATGGGCCCTGCTCTGTGGTCTTTTGACAAATGGCAGTATATATATATATATTTAATTTTATTTTTAAAGTGCAGGGGAAGTGTATGTAGAAAAAGATGGCTGCCCTCTGTGTGCCTTTGGGGGCTGACATCTCCCCCCCCCCCCGTACCAGATCCCTGGTAGCCTTATTCCAACACTGAATGAAAAAACAACACCACCACCAATGACTGCTCCTTTTGGCGGAGAGTTTAATTTGAGCCTAAACAGGCTTTGTGCAGATCCCCTTCTCCATCGGTGATGCACAGCGCAGGTTGGCAATCAGTTGTACCTTGGTCCTGTTTTAGGTCTAGTTGTTCTGGCCCTGAGGCGTTTTGTGACTATTGCCATTGAGTTAATGCATAACATTTTGCCCCCTAGACTGGCCGGTATTCAATGAAGTGGATAACTTGGTTCATGATGGCCTTGACAATCAACGGGTAAGTGCCAAAGTAGATGTGATTGTGGCAGTTGTGTGTGTGTGTGTTTAAGTGTGGAACGTCACATAGACACCTTGTGGGCCTCTATGAGACCAGGATGCTGGTCTAGATAGGCTTTTGACCTGATCTAGCCGGGCTGCTCTGATGTTCTTAAGAGCTGCCCCAGCCACACAGAAAGAGTGAGATAGGAATCTGATTTTAAAAGCAAAGAGGCGTGTACCTGAGGAGTGCAGTATCCTCATCTCACCTTTCATTTTGTCCCCCCAGCCCCTCTCCCCAAGTGCTTTTCTTCCAACCAGAGCTACTCTTTCTGTGGCAAGGATTGCTATCCTTTTTTGGGCCCATGGGCACACATGCAAACTGGATAAACTGTTGTGTGCATCATTTGCATGCTTCCAACACGCACTCATGCCCTGCAACCATGCACACACACATGCATACTCATCTCCCACCACCATTTATGCTTGAAAAAGTGTTTTTGCTACTCTCCCCCCAATCCTAATTTACTGCCGGAGGGTGGGGGGTGGGTAGAAATGTCTTCCTGAAGCATGCAGCTGGTGAGGCAAGATATAATCTTTATAATCCATATATAATTCAGCAAAGTGGAGTGGGGTAGGTTCCTGCATGCCCTAGGGACAACCTCAGAGAACACATGTGAACTCACAAGCCCCACAGTGGTGACCCCTTTTCAATGTGATTTCATCAGTTCTCATGTATTTAAACATGGATGTTGGTTTGCCATGTCCAGTTTGAGCCCAACATTCCATGTAGAGGGACTGTATAAGCTTTATCTGATTCAATTTAAATATGAGCACAAAGACATTGTACTCCATACAGTGTTTAGGCTTTTAAAAGTATTTATTTATTTATTTTAGTTTTGTGTGGCTGATTTCAGTTTCAAAATGTAATAAAAACAGAAAACAAATATAACGTAAGACCCTCACTCTTGTTCCATGCGATTGTAAAATGCCACAAAACTCTCCTATTCAGAAAGGAGAAGGATGTTGAAGAATTTCAGAAAAAGTAAGAAAAGGAGCGGAGATTGCTCATGTTCGCATATTTAGCTCGTGTCCAGAAAGGAAATCAATACGGCGAATATGATCGGCATTTGCTGCTGCCGTTGCTTTCAGCCAGCAAATGATACTAATTTATTATGCCTCCCTTGCATTGGGTTTCCTTTGCACTGAAATGAACGGGGTGGTATAACATAATTGCATAAATTATGAAAGTTATTTTGCCACAACAAACAGTGAGGCTGACCTGTAGTGGTACGGAAACTGTTGCATGTAACGAATACAGTGTGGAATGGAAAATAAAGCCATCTTGCATCCCTACTCTAGAGCAGACGTCGTATCTCTGGTGGGCATTCATTTCAGTATAGACTTAGCAATCTATAGTATAGACAAGCAGGGATCTTTATTACCTGCTGCTGCTTCTACACACACACGCACGCTCCCAGTCATCTTGATTTTCCATCATTGTGCCACTAGTTCCGTGAGCTAGTTAGGAATAATCTTTTCATGTCTATTTTGTTGTGTTGAGAAAACAAGGTGCAAAGCTGCTATATGACTGTCCTGGAAGGAAATAGCTGAATTTATAAAGCAGGCGTATTTGTACTGCCTTTGCACATTGAGAGTTCAGAGAAAGTACTGGCATTGTATCCTGTTTTTTCTCCGTAGGACTCTGAAAATGGAGGTGACAGTGGATACCCCAGCGAAAAGAGGAGTGAACAAGAAGACATGGATCACCGAGAAAAAGTAACGCCTTTCCCCTCCAGAGTGAATAAGCCTTCCACTTGCCCCCTCATCCTGTTTTGCATTATATAACCCATGTAAAAATTTGCTGCTTGTTTTTCATTCTGTGAATTTGAATTGTGAGCAGAAGCTCACAGCAGGCAACTGGGAGGGTATCAAGCTGTAATTTAAGGGCACTGTGACTTGTAGGTCTGGAAAAGGTAAACTGAAGTTCCCACGATTCTTTGTGGGAAGTCAAGTGTGTTTAAATGCTTAGTGTGAATGCAGCCTACATGAAAGAAACGCCATGTTGTGACAGGTGCCTGTCTCCTCTATCCACCTCTCTTTTTCCTGACCTTAACATCAGAGGAAAGAGGACAGGAGGAGTGTGGCAAAAATGAGGGGGCAGACTTCTCTGCTCACCTATGGGCAACTGCTAGTCACCCCCAGGTGAGGTAGGAAGGGACACACTTCATGTCTCTTCCAGCTATTGTTGCAAGAACCAGTGCTTTCCCCCCTAGAAAAATAGGTCGGTACCATGAAGTTGTTACAGTAAGTGCCCCACTTTTTAACAACAGCAAAAAAGAGGTGCCAGTACTTTGTACCTTTGAGTAACCCCTGAAAAAAAGCACTGATAAGAACTAACATCATTTTTACTCATTTTCTGCTTCACTATTTGAAATATTTAACTTTACTCATATTGAAATGAATGCATCACTCCAAAATCTTGGGAAAGGGGATTGTTTCCTAACACTGCAAAGGTTCTTAGCAAAATGTGAGTCATATTCTGCACCTTTCTTTTCTTTTAACAATAATGTAGGGGCATTCCAATTGCAACCGGAGACATGAACCTGACGAAGACAGTTTGGGCAGCTCTGCACGGGTAAGTAAACCATAAAATGTCTTCAGGCAATAGCTGATTGCTGTGGTTTGGTCCTTAAATATCATATGCATATTAATGCACTTAGCTTTTCTCGGAGTAATATTTCACCCTGACTTTTTAATTCTTTTTCCTCCCTAATTAGAGAAATGCTGTTGTAAATAAATCCTCTGTGACCACTAAAACCAGTCTTCAGAGCAAACTGGTGATTCTGCATGAATATTTCAGTTACATGCTGTTATTTGCTTTAACTTTCCCCCCGCTGTTTGGTTTTGTTTTTATTCTGTTCTGCTGTTGCTGCTCTGTCCACACTGTTTGAATGTTTCTCTACAAAAGGCTCCAGATCTTGGAGTACGCAAAAGTCTCTCATTACTGCTGCTCTTTTTATTCCATATTTCCTTCTATTATTATTGTTAATTCAAATGAAACTTCTTTTGATGCGTTCATTCATTCATCCTTACTCATGATTTTCAACAGCAATTTTTTTAAAAACCTACCAGTTCATTCTAAAATAAAAGAAAGATAAGCTAGTTGAAGCTTAGGGTTGTCATATTTCAAAAAGTACATTTCCTGACACCCGCAAAGTTGTTTAGCTTTTTTGGGGAAACCTCCCCCCAAAATAGTGATTCTAAGCTTCTGGAACTGCTTTTTCCCATCACGTTGCCATACATTTGGGTTTCCCCATACATTTTGCTGATTTGGCGAAATTCTCCCATGACATCATTTATACACCCCTAACAAAGGACATGTCAGGAATTTTCCTGACATATGGCAAGCCTAGCTGAAGAGTTCTCGTTAGCTGCCAATCTCTCTGAAACAAAGGTACTGTTTCTAGCTGTAAGAAGCAGCTAGAGCAGGGGTCTGCAACCCGCGGCTCCGGAGCCGCATGTGGCTCTTTCACACCTTTGCCACGGCTCTGGGGCGGATACTAGCGAGGGGAGAAGGCGCATTGTGCGCCCCGACACTCCCCACCGTGGCGGGTGCTGTACTGGCTGTGATGTCGCATAAGGACGGTGCGTGCGTTAGTCACGCACCGTCCCGACGTCACCTTCCCACCTGCTGTCAGATCGCAGCTCCAGAGATATATTTGTTTTAAATGTCGCAATGGTTTTGCGGCTCCCAGTTTTTTTTCCTTCGGAAACGGGTCCAAGTGGCTCTTTTTGTCTTAAAGGTTGCAGACCCCTGAGCTAGAGGATGCTGGCAAAAGAAAAGTCTTAATTAAAATACAGATTCATTTGTTTTTAACTGCCAAAGGAATTGTGAACAACTTAAAATGGCTGAAAATAGGCATTTGCAATTCATTGGCGGAAGTTTCCAGGCATCTGTACTGATGGGGACAGACATTGAAATTACCGCGTTATTGCCAAGCCGCAGCCTGAGACTTAAAGAGAACAGCATGCTGTTATCTAGCCTGCCTGTGCCTGCTATCTGCAGCATTTCAAGAGAGATTGTTTCAATGGTTACTGTCCTGTTCCTGTGCTTTTGACTGCAATTTCCACCAGCCCTAGGCAGCATAGCCTTCGATGGTGGCAGTTGTGTTCCAAAACACCCGGGGGGGGGGACATTTGGGGAAGGCTGATCAGAGGGCTTAAGCATGTGCGTGGTGTGTCCCCCGCCCTCAAATTTCTACATAATGCATTTCCTGCATTGCAGGGTTTTAGACTAGATGACATTTGGGATCTCTTCCTGGAAATGGTTCCTTGCCTTTCAGGCTGCTGTGGTTTTAAGGCTATTATTTATTCCAATTATTATTATTTATTTCTCACTATTCCTGACCCAGGACGTGGGTGGCGCTGTGGGTTAAACCACAGAGCCTAGGACTTGCCGATCAGAAAGTCGGTGGTTCGAATCCCCGCGACGGGGTGAGCTCCCGTTGCTCAGTCCCAGCTCCTGCCAACCTAGAAGTTCGAAAGCACACCAGTGCAAGTAGATAAATAGGTACCACTGCGGCGGGAAGGTGAATGGCGTTTCCGTGCGCTGCTCTGGTTTGGCAGAAGCAGCTTAGTCATGCTGGCCACATGACCCGGAAGCTGTACGCCGGCTCCCTTGGCCAATAAAGCGAGATGAGCACCGCAACCCCAGAGTCAGTCACGACTGGACCTAATGGTCAGGGGTCCCTTTACCTTTTTTATTCCTGAGCCACCTGTGTTTTAGTCAGTTTTCACTAAGGACCAAGCCTTTCATGAGGCAAACCCTGCATTCTAGAACTCCCTGCCAGTGAAGTTTGGCAGGAACCATCCCTCCCATCCTTTAGACATATTTTGAAAACTTTTTTTGTGCGCAGACAGGCATTTACAACATTTTTTCTTTTAACCAATCAGTATATTTTTAATGCTGTGAACTGCCCTGAGATCTGTGGATAAAGGGCAGTAGATAAATCTAAACGACAACCATAAAAATAGAGATGATTATTTATTGATATATTTTTTTTAAAAAAAGAAAGATTTTTAATGGCTCTTTTGTTGATACTATCTTTGTACATAACCTTGCAATGCTTTTATGCAAGTGTGGGTTATGAATTCAGAAAGAAAAAAGGACCACAAAGATGTCTGGGGTACCGGTGGCGAAAGCTTCTCAGGACACTTTCCAGGCCTCTGATTGTGTAGTGCAGCATTAAACCAGGAGTTTGTGGGTGTGACCTGCCTGTTCTCCAAAGTTGCTAGAAATTCTGGTTGCGGGCAGAGAGTTAGGTGTTTATGTTGTTTTCACCCCTTTGCTGCCATGCACATTTCTGTTTTGAAAAGCCCAACTATAAAGGTTTGCCGATCCAAACTCATGGCACAAGAGGGATCTATCCGTTGGCGCTGTTTGTTTAGATAGGGCGGCACGCGCTCTCTCTTTTTCCTTTTCTTTTTCTTCCTTCTTTTTCTTTTTACCTTTCAAACTCAAGTCACGATGCATTCGCCCTGTTTTAGGTCAGTGTGGAGAAATGGAATCTCTACAACGCTTCCAGAGTTCACATTCACAGACCCTCCTGTGTGGCGGTGGAAGTGCAGAGACTCAATGCCTTGGAGCTTGAGAAGAAAATTGGGAAGTCCATCCTTGGGAAGGTTTGATCACCACACAGTCTCTTGCATCCGGCAGGCACCAAGTATCACCTGAGCCCAATGGCTCACTCTGCAGAAAGAACGAGGGTTTTCACATAAATTGCTTGTCTCCTTAAGTAAAGAGGACCAGCCTGGTTCTAGGGCCAGAAAAAGGAATAAACTTGTAATCTGTGCATCAACTAATACTTAATTTTCCATTGACAATGCATTTAAACTTACTGGGTGACTATGGAGTTAGCGTTGCCAGGGATAGGACAATTTAGAGAAAGGGCATCAGAGAAAGGAGTTAAACACCTCCCTCTTAGAGCCACAGTCTTCCAAGCTGCTCAGTGAGACTAAAAATTACCGTATTTTTGCTCTATAAAACTCACTTTTTCCCTCCTAAAAAGTAAGGGGAAATGTGTATGCGTCTTATGGAGCGAATGCAGGCTGCACAGCTATCCCAGAAGCCAGAACAGCAAGAGGGATTGCTGCTTTCACTGCGCAGCGATCCCTCTTGCTGTTCTGGATTCTGAGATTCAGAATATTTTTTTTCTTGTTTTCCTCCTCCAAAAACTAGGTGCGTCTTGTGGTCTGGTGCATTTTATAGAGCGAAAAATACGGTAGTAAAGCAAAACGAAAAAAGTTTAGTTTGGCCTTAATACTCAGGGGTGAGCTGCTGCTATTTCCTCAGGGGCAGCAAATGGCTAGGAGATTAATTTTCCCCCTGGGGAGTGCTTCATAGTATCTTTGAGGAGGTTCAGGATCGGCACCCGGCACCCATGGGCAGCTGTTCATCCATATTGCTGCCTTTTGAGGATTGTATTCAGGGGGAGCAAGAGGATCTGTGCAGGGCACCAACAATGAAGCTGTGTCTGTCTGTACAGCCTCAGTTGCAGTGCAGAAGTGACTTTGAAAGCATTCAAAATGTGCTGTTCCTTCCTCTGGTTAGCATGTGTGTTCCTCTGAGACAAGCTAAATACATGGTGGCGTTAGGTGAGATAGAGCATGCATTTGGAGCTCGCTCCACACATCACTCTTTTCTCCAGCTTGAATAGGAGGGAGGGGGGAAATATTATCCCAGGCAGTACTAAGATAGTCCTGTGAATCCACTTCCAGGAATTGACCTTTCTGGCTTTTAAGGTTAAGAAATGGCTTCAGAGTTTCACGGAACAATGCCCAGTGAGTGTTCTAGGTGCTTCTGGTGTAATGGCATTGCGGTGTGGATGTGCTCAGCCCCCTAGATGGGAGACCACTATCAGTTCCATGTAAGAGCAAACATAACATACATAATCATAAAACGATTCCCTGAAAACGTTTTGCGGAACTGAGCAGGCCATCGGGTTATTCTTCATTGGGTCATCTTCCTTTCTGATTTCTTCCGTTCTCTTGATGTCTCTCTGTCTCACAGGTGCACTTGGCCATGGTTCGTTATCACGAAGCGGGCCGTTTCTGTGAGAAAGACCAGGAGTGGGATGAGGAATCGGCCATTTTTCACCTGGAGCATGCAGCTGACTGCGGAGAGCTGGAAGCCATTGTTGGCTTAGGGCTCATGTACTCCCAGCTGCCCCATCACATTCTCTCTGAGGTCACGCTAGAGGTAAGCAAGGCAGTGCTTAAAGTTGCCAAAACCTGGAGAGGAAACAGGGCTCCCTGCATGACCATTCCCGCACCTCTGGATTCGTGTTTCATCATGAACGCAGAAACAAGTCAGGGATGTTGGATATTGTAGCAGCGGATTTTCTGCATCAGCAGGGGATTGAACCAGATGACCTTTGGGGACGCGTCCGACTCTTGTGAATCACATTTGTCTGTACACCTTAAAATGTGAAGTGTTAATGAGACCAACACACGTACTGTGGTACATTTGAGTGAATGAATGACCAGTTCTGGCTCACTTACAATATCAGGAAAATCATAAAACACAACAGGAATACATTGAATTGCAATTGGGCATAACAGAGACAATTCAGATGTAGTGACAGTTAAAATATATATATTAAATCTTGATCACTAAAATATAACCTAAAATTATCATTTAAAACCTTAATCATGATGATAGCACAGCTTGTTCCCTAGGTTTTATGGCAGTTGCACATATTTTGGCCACCCTTAGCGTGATCTCTAGATCCTTGTCCTCTACCAGGAATTTTAGACATTGAAGTTCGGACCCATTTAGAGATTTTTGTATAACAGGAGTGATAAATACTGAGCATATATCCCCGTAGAAACGGCAGCGTAACAAGACATGAGAGACAGTTTCTACCTCCATCAAGCCACAGGGGAGGACTCAGTACACGTATGGTTTACCCTCGAATCTGCCCTGTAATAAGGCAGATGGCAGCATGTTGAATCTTGTGAGGGTAAATGACCATCTGTGGTACATTTGGGTAATTTTAGAGGATCTAAAGAGGGGAGGGGCTCTTTAGATGCTAATGTATCGTACTGCATTTATTTCAAAATATTGTTGAGGGGACCCTTGTGCTCATTCTGTTGAGCTGGGCTCTGGATGTTGCTTCAGAGCCTGACCCTGGCAGAGCCGCTACCCATGTATCTTTACTGTTGCTGAGCCCTGATTTGCTGCCCGGGAGGCAGTTTGCTCTGCATTGTGTGTGGAAGGCTCCCTGTCCCCTCAAATGGGAACAATGCCAACATCCTTCCTCTCATTAGCTGTCACATTCAGCATTCCATAAATGCAACGTCTCTTCCTGGCAACCTGATACCCAGCTGCAGTACAGTAAGACAGACCCCCCCCCATCTCTTATTTATCTGTGGTATGCACAGAGGACATTTGGTGAGGTGGGGTTGAGCTGGGAAGAGGGCTTGTGGGGAGGATCTAGGAGTAAGAAACTGGTTGAGCTTTTCCGTGAGCCTTCTGCCCGTTCCTACCACTCCAGGGTGGGGAAAACTCCTGACCTTATGGGTTCTGCAGTTGTCCACTCTGTCCCTCCACCACCCATCCGTTCCATATCTTTAATTAATATGATAATACACAATGTTCCAAGGGATGTGGGTGGCGCTTTGGGTTAAACCACAGAGCCTAGGACTTGCCGATCAAAAGGTCGGCGGTTCGAATCCCCACGACGGGGTGAGCTCCTGTTGCTCGGTCCCTGCTCCTGCCAACCTAGCAGTTCAAAAGCACGTCAATGTGCAAGTAGATAAATAGGTACCACTCCGGCGGGAAGGTAAATGGCATTTCTGTGTGCTGCTCTAGTTCGCCAGAAGCAGCTTAGTCATGCTGGCCACATGACTCGGAAGCTGTACGCCCGCTCCCTCGGCCAATAAAGCGAGATGAGCGCCTCAACCCTAGAGTCGGCCACGACTGGACCTAATGGTCAGGGGTCCCTTTATCTTTACCTTTACCTTACACAATGTTCCAGTAGATTAAGATCCTATACAAAAATCTCTTGACAATAGTTCAGCTTTTTCTACAAGCAGATATGGCAACTGTGATAATTGATGGTTATCTTTTTGCTTTTGCAGGACATCAAGGAAAATAGAAGCAAAGGGTTTGATTATTTACGCAGAGCATCAGAAGCAGGTGACCGTCCTTCCATGATTCTTGTTGCTAGAGCATTTGATACAGGCATGAGCCTTCCTCCTGACAGGTACTATTTTGTTAAGGGTATCTGACAAGTGGCAGGTGTGTGTGTGTTGATTCTTAAATCACTTTAGGAATTGTAGCTTTATAAAGGGAATAGTGGTCTCCTAACAACTCTCAGCACCCTTAACAAGCTACAACTCCCATCATTCTTTGGGGGAAGCCATGACAGTTTAAAGTGGTACCATAGTGCTTTAAATGTATGCTGCCATTTCTTTTCTCACTCTCTCATTCTGCCATGTTTTTCTCCTTTTGGCCACCACTTATTTTCCCTCTCTCTTATTGCCACATTCCTCCCTTTCTCTCTGTGCCATCTCCATTTTAACCCACATGAAATAGGCCGAAGCCTGCATGAAATTAGGGCACTTTCCTGTGGCCAGATTGCCCACCCCTGTTGCAGAGTTTGACGGATCGAATAACAAGACTCAGCAGGATGCAAGATCAAGTCTTTAAGCAGCTCCAGATGTATATCCCCCCCCCAATTATCCTTGGAGTTTTCCGTGATTGATTTGTTGTTTAATTACTCAGGTGCCAGGACTGGAAGGAAGCCATACATTGGTACAATTCGGCATTGAACATGACAGATTACGACGAAGGAGGGGAATACGATGGGACCCAGGATGAGCCCCGGTATCTACTCCTGGCAAGGGAAGCCGAGATGTTGATGACTGGAGGGTTTCATCTAGACAAGGACCCACAGAGATCAGGTACAGTTCTGGCTTTTTTCCCCTTTTTCTTTTTTTAACTTTCTGTGTTTCATCTGTGCGTGTCTTAATCTTTATAAGATGCCTTGAATCCAATTGTTCGAGACTTACACTTCTCTGAATTCTGCAGTGCAGTTCTCCAGTGAAGGAATGTGTACAAAAATGCATATACTGGGGGAGCGTTTGCATAGAAATTCACATCTCAGTGAAAATAATATACAAAAATGCTTTCGTATTTGTTTTGTAAAAATGTGTGTGTTAGGCAAAATTGCATGCATGTGAACGTTAGCAGAAATTTGCATTCATTTGCATTCATTCAAATTTCAAGAGGATTTTTGTTAAAATCATGAACTGATGTGGAAACGGAGAGAAGTAAACTTCGGATTGAAAAAAATGAAAAACAGAGACAACCCGCAAATGACAGATCCATGCATTCCTATTTGGAGCTGCCTTTCATGTGATCCTTCATCCTGTTTTCTTTAAAAATAATAAATAAAAAAGGAACATTAAGACAAACAAACTGATATAAACACACAAAACCTTCCAAAGATCACATTGAGAAAAGGAATACACAGGTGAACCACACACCCTCATTACACACTTTGAAAAGTATATATTTATAAATGCCGAATGTGTAGCATCAATTGCAACAGTGAAGTTAACAACAACCTTCTTTAAACCTTGGAGAAATTCTGGGACGTGATATCTAAATAAAGAAAATCTAGAGTATCAAGATAAAGTTCAGGATAACATACCTCTCCAAAAAGAAAAGTGAACAGGAGGTCTTCTGGTGAGGAATTAATGAAAGAAATGGAAGCTACTCATCATAAAATTTATCTCTGCTACAGTTGTCTCTGACTACTCAGCAATGTTGTGTTAGTTTGCCTACAAACACAGCCTTCCAAAGCCTATCATACCAGTTTTGCATAGTTAACAAACGATGGCTTTTCTGTAAGAGTGGGATCTCCACCTAGGCTGCTTCCAGGAAACAGATTATCGATGATTTAAATTGACAGATCCATCCATCTCTTAACTGGAGACGTCCTTCATGTGATTCTCCATCCATTTTTCTTAGGTGAGCTGTTTACTGAAGCTGCGGAAGCTGCTATGCAAGCCATGAAGGGGAGATTGGCCAACCAGTACTACCAGAAAGCAGAAGAGGCCTGGGCCATGATGGAGGAATGAAACTTGAACAAAGGCTGTTTCCGTGTGTGTGTGTGTGCGCGCGCGCATATCAGTATAGATGCTTTTTTAAAAGACTTATTTTGTGCAAGGTGCACGGGGGGTGGGAGGAAATTTCAAAAAAGGTTTTTTTATGTGGTGTTAACTGATAATTGTGTTTTTCATATGACAATTTTTCTAACTCTGTTGGAACAGAAATACAAAGCAGGAGCGGTGAAATATACTGTTACTGACATTCAGAGATGCAATATCAGTTGCTGTTGATAATTTTGTACAAATGGTCCAACCAGGGACGCCTGTCTCTTCATTTGGAAGAAATAAAGCAGACATCCACTTTTATGGTAGGCACAATAGAAAGTTGCTTCATGTTTTACTTCTATCTCTGCCTCCCTCTATTAGGAAATGCAGATATTTTTGCATTTGGCTCTCTTTTGTTAGAAATGCATGCTTGTTATTGGTTCAAGATTTGATCCTCCAGTCTAGGACATAATAGATGTGAGGGACTGGGGAAGGTGGCCCTTCTATCCCCACAGTTCTTGACTCTATGGTGACAGGCAGGAAGGCAGTCTGGGACCTCCTTCCTTTGAACTTGGAAGAAGCTGTAAATTAGGAATACATCCAAGGGTGACACTTTCTTCATCGTACAACCTCTGTTGCCTATTAATCATGGAGCCAGGATGGTGGTAGACTCCTTGGTCTGTTGTCACATGGAGCAAACCTTTCCCAATTTCCTGCAGTCTGCTGATTTTGTTTTTCCCCCTGCTCAAGCTTTTAAAATTCTTTGAAAAGAAAAACCCTGAGAGGTGATTCTCTCCAATCTCATCCTATTCTGTGCTTTAGGAGCCAATTCAAATATTCAAGAGGTCCGTGAGGAACAGTCCTCTTACAGAAATGTTCCACCTCAGTGTTTACATTTGAAAGTGCTGTGTAAGTCTCCCTGCAAACTGAGCTAGAAGCTTTCAGCCTGATTCATAATACTTTCATGACTTTGAAGAGTAAGGAGATTTTGATGTGATGTTTTGATCAATCAGGCAAATTATATTCCACATTTTGTTTTGAGGAGATGCAGCCTTGTGAGAGAGAACCCATACCATATGCCTTTCTGTATGTTTGAATAAGTTCTTAATGAACAATGGAAAGACACTGAAGAACTGGAAGGAGAAACAAAATTCTGCTCATGACATGTTGTTGCCAGGTTGTTGTTTTTGTTCATTGTAATAACTCATCTATCGTGAGAAAGGGACCTGGTAAAAATGGAATCCTGGGGTTTCATGTCTTACTGCAATTTAACACGATGGCTTTCTTGACTCTCAGCCTTTACATTAAAACTGGGATACTGTTAAAGTCAAGCTGTCCAAAAAAAAACCCACAAAAAGCTTTGATGGCAGGTGTTGCTTAATAATCCTTGGAGGTATACAGTGCAGAAAAGAACTAATGCCTCTTTATATTCCTCAATTGGCTTTCCAGCACAGATGACAAGGACACCAAAATAAAGTAGATATAAATCAAGGGTGGGAAGCCTTTTCAGACCAAGGGCTTCCATTTCCTCATGGGCAACCTTTGGGTGTCTGCATGGAAGTGCTGGGCAGAGCCAGAGGTGAAAGTGGGAGTAGCAACAGGTGTGGCATTTACCTGTTGTACAGGAGACTACGTTTCAGCCACACAAAATCCAGCTCTATACATACACACACACACAACCCAAACACATTTCTCCTCCAGGCAAGCAAGGCACATATTATCACAGTTGAAGGACACATTCTAGCAAGGCAAAAGCACTAAATGATGTGGAGAAGAACATGAGGTGGGTGTATCCTGGGGGGTGACATAGCATGGAGAGAATTCAGAGGACCAGGCAAAGCAATCCAGATGGTCACATTTGGCCCCTAGTCCCAGGATTCCCCACTCCTGATATAAATGAATGCAATAGTAGAAAATAAGGGGCTATTTTTGCATATCCTGATGGAAATGAAAGTGTACGGACATGGTTCCTCATTAGAGCCCTTTCAGGGGAACTGCTTTTCTACAATTAGCTGGAAGTGAAAAGGAGATCCAGTACAGTGGTACCTCGGGTTAAGTACTTAATTAATGCCAGAGGACCGTTCTTAACCTGAAACTGTTCTTAACCTGAAGCACCACTTTAGCTAATGGGGCCACCTGCTTCTGTCACGCCGCCGGAGCACGATTTCTGTTCTCATCCTGAAGCAAAGTTCTTAACCTGAGGTACTATTTCTGGGTTAGCGGAGTCTGTAACCTGAAGCGTATGTAACCTGAAGCGTATGTAACCCGAGGTACCACTGTATAGCAATTAATAAGCACTATTATTGTATAGCAATGTCCTTCTCCATAGTCAAGAGCCACCTAATGTTTACTCACAAATGAGTCCCTTTTCAGCAAAAGGCCTTCTGCAGTGTTAATTAAAAGCTCCTCGCAGGTTTAGCCCATCTTACTGCTTCATGTTCAGTGAACAGGAATTAGTAATGAATTTCCCCTTTAATCAGCTTCTCTGGGAGTGAGCTCCAATTAATAGTTTTCTCCTATTTTGTGTGTGATTTTATAGCATAATAGCACTTTAATATCAATGAGATCACTTTCCTATGTTAGCTACCACTGCCACCCTCCACAGAACACATCTGGCTAAATGAGGAACAATTGGGGTACAGTTCGTTACTAATCCACCAGTTGTGCTGAACAGGATGTAATAAAACAGGCAGAGCCTGCACAACTTCCAGTTAAATACACATTTGTCCTTAAAATGCATTGCTTGTGCACACTTGGACAGGCTTTTATTAGTAATATATATCTCGAAAACAGTAAATACAGTGAACTCCCCATGAAAAAGTAAGTGTAGAAGGGATGGCTATTTCAGAGAAAAGTTTGGAAGCAACCAAAAATGATCCTAATGTCTCCAAGATTGCAATTTTATGTGGGCTTTCTTGGAAGTAAACCCCACTGAACTTGGAGGGATTTACTTCCCAGTAAGCATAGACGCGGGTGGCGCTGCGGTCTAAACCACAGAGCCTAGGGCTTGCCGATCAGAAGGTTGGTGGTTTGAATCCCCATGACGGGGTGAGCTCCCGTTGTTCGGTCCCAGCTCCTGCCCACCTAGCAGTTCGAAAGCACATCAAAGTGCAAGTAGATAAATACTTCCCCCACTCTGGTGGGAAGGTAAACGGTGTTTCTGTGTGCTGCTCTGGTTCGCCAGAAGTGGCTTAGTCATGCTGGCCACATGACCCAGAAGCTGTCTGTGGATGAACGCCGGCTCCCTCGGCCTATAGACCACACTCTGCAATACAGTCCTTGCTTATTTGTCTATGCAAATAATGGTTTTGTGCTTTCTTCCATGGTAGCATCACTTTTTCTGCCTGCTTCATTATCATTAGTGACATCTCCACTCCCAGTGAAGTTCCCAGAAGCCTCTAGCCTAATTCTGAAACGCAGCAGATTTGATGGTGAATCTCTATCTAGACTACATGCTTTAATGTTCATGCATTTATTTATTTTTTTAAAAAACCCTACATATAGAAAACTAGATATCAGGGAGAAGGCTAGAACTAGGACCTAGCATCTAGATTTCTACATGCAGAGTAATTTTTTATTTTGTATAGAGGAGCACTCAGTCATGTGATCCCGCACCTGCAATCCAAAGTTGCAGACTCCTGACTGCATCTACTGCATGTAACAATTGGGCCTCTGACTCCCCATTCCTTAAGAAAACACTTTTGATGTGACAGCCAGACTTTCAATTAAGTAGCAGACTGTTAATCATTAGTTAATTAACTTTGTCGCCTTTGTACTAAGCCACTTAAGAGATGAAAGCAATTTCTAATAACATCTGCTACTTCACTGCAGAAATATAAGACCTATTAGTAAGTCCCTTACAATGTTCATTCATCTCAGATTTTCATTACGCACCTTAATTTGCCATGTCCACTCTCTTTGGAGATTTCACTTGTTTCCTGGATCACTAACCTAAAAATCCTGAAATCGCCTTCCAGCTGCCACCAGCGCTTCACTTTTGAGATATTCTACTTCTGGGTTTGATCTTCTTTGGGGCATATTCCACAGCAAGAATTGCTGGAGGGTACTTGATGGTTACGGACAAGTACTCAGAACTTGTTAAAGATTTTGCTGAGCTTGTTGCTAAAGATAAGAGGCTTGAGTTCCTGTATCATGTTTACATTGCCTGACAGAAAGGAAGAAGCACAAAAATGTTGTGATAGGTACATTTTCAATAAATTTATGAGGAAGAATCTTATCCAAAGCTTGTGTCTTTATTTCGGGACTCTTGTGTCAGGAATGTCGACTTCATTATTGATCCGGTGTCTAATTGCATATACACAATAAAAACCATATAAGGATTTGAAATTACAGATTATCAGCTGACTATTACAGAAAATATTTTTATTGTCTGCATGATGGTATGGAAAAGTTTTCAGCAAACATTTAAAGGTGAATATGGAAGGTGCCTGCTGTATCACTTAACTGGAAGAGCATTCTACAAGACTGGGCCAAAGAAATGAAAGGTTGGTGTTGCCAAATGAGCATCATCAACTCAAAAGAAAAATCAGTGATGCTCCTGCGGAGGATTTTGTTGGCTGTGCTGGGATATTTGGGTTCAGATGGTGCCTAACGTACTTCTGTCGTTCAGGGTTTTGTAAACCTTGAACCTTGCTCAGGGGTAAATGAATAGCCACTGTAGATGTTTCAACAAAGGTGTTGGCCGTGTGCCTCCATCAGCAGTCTGGCTTCCACATTCTGCACCAGCTAGACCTTCTGGGCCAGGTCCAAGGGCAGGCCGTGTAGAGTGCATGGCAGTGTGATGCTCATGCCCTCTGTGGGTTTCCCACAGGAATCTGGTTGAGAAGAGAATGCTGGACTCAACAGTCCATTGAATTGCACTAGCAGGGTGCTATTTCATTCATTCAAGTTAGTATATTTCTAATGTGCCAGTCTCTGGGCAGGATACAATACAGTTAAAAACCACACTTGGTGACCTGGGCTTGGACAGGACATTGTTGTGGGGTGGGTAGGAGTTGGGGAGAAGTTAGAATAAGGCAAACATACCAAATCCATGCTTTCCAAAACAACACAAATTAAAATGGCCATCCTTTGAAGTTTGCACTTCACTGAATTCTGCAATGCAGTTCTCCAGCCAAATAATGTGTACAAAAATGCTTATGCTGGTGTAAAGTGTCCATAAAAATGCATATAAGTAATGTACAAAAGTGCATTGTATTAGGGGAAATTCCTTTGCCAAAAACTGAATACATGAGAAGAAATTAGCACTAATGTTTGCATTTTCATGTGGACTTTTAAAAATTGTAAACTTACATGGAAATGCGGAGAACTGAAAACCGTAAAAATGAGAGCGAACAAAATTGGCAGATTAACCCATCCTTTAAAAGGTAAAGGTACCCCTGCCCGTACGGGCCAGTCGTGTCCGACTCTAGGATTGTGTGCCCATCTCACTTAAGAGGCCGGGGGCCAGCGCTGTCCGGAGACACTTCCAGGTCACGTGGCCAGCGTGACGAAGCTGCTCTGGCGAGCCAGCACCAGCGCAGCACACGGAAACGCCGTTTACCTTCCCACTATAAAGCGGTACCTATTTATCTACTTGCACTTAGGGGTGCTTTCGAACTGCTAGGTGGGCAGGAGGTGGGACCGAAAGACGGGAGCTCACCCCGCCGCGGGGATTCGAACCGCCGACCATACGATTGGCAAGTCCTAGGCGCTGAGGTTTTACCCACAGCGCCACCCGCGTCCCTAACCCATCCTTAAGGTCCCCTAAAAGGCCCTGTCTTGGGTCTCTGCCAACTGGTTGTGGTAGCACAACCAAGGCCTCACCTGTTGTATGTGTATAATGCCCCATAATTCCAGGATTCAGGAAATAAAACACTTCCGACCGTTCCAACCTAGTTTGTCATCTCACCTATCATAAGCTTGAACAATAAATGCAAGTCATTATGTAGCATGCATTTTCATTTGTCAACCCTTCATCAAATCAAATGAACTGGGCTGCTACAGCATTTTTTGAAGAAAACGTGATCTTCATGCTCTGAATCATAGAATTGTAGAGTTGGAAGGGACCCCAAGGGTCATCTAGACCAACCCCCAGCAATGTAGAAATCTCAACTAAAGCAATCATGACAAATGGCATGTACCCAGATGAAATGCACCCAGAATCTTTTACAATTTTCTAGAAATTAACATTATAAAATTGTGTGAGAACCCTGGAGATTATTTATTTATTAGACTTTTAAAGTCCCTACTTACCTGAAGTTCTTCAAGCAACTAACAACGCATTAAAAATATAAATACGCTAAACCAGGGATCAGCAGGGGGCCGGTCCACTGTC